ACAAAGGTAAATGATGTTAAGTGAGTGAGTGAGTTTAGTTTTACGCCGCATTCAACAATATTCCAGCTATATGGCGGCGGTCTGTAAATAAACGAGTCTGGACCAGACAATCCAGTGATCAACAGCATGAGCATCGATCTGCGCAATTGGGAACCGATGACATGTGTCAACCAAGTCAGCTAGTCTGACCACCCAATCCCGTTAGTCAGCCTCTTACACAAGCATAGTCGCCTTTTGTGGCAAGCATGAGTTGCTGAAGACCTATTCTACCCCGGATCTTCACGCGTCTAAATGATGTTAAGACAAATAATGAATAATAAAAGACACTAAGGCCACATGTAGTCGGTCTTCCCTGATATACAGCTGTCACGATATCCAACCTAAACATTTGACAGGATTATCTACCAAACTGCTCATTGTACAGAGTGGTTACAGCCCCAATACATTCCACTATAACCTGTATCAGCTCTCCTAAACAAAAGGCAATAACTCTCTAGGGTCCAGTGAGATAGCATGGGAACGAGAGGTTATTTTTGGTCCACTGGCCTTATGCCCTCCAGAAATGCATAAGGGGAGGAAAACTACTCACCCCTCCAGCCCCCACCCCCAAACACATGCCTGACCCAGTAATCTTCAAACCATACCAGAGTATCTCTGTACCTGAGGAATCCATGATCACAGAGACTTATATCAGGTGTACCTGTATGTCTGACACACTGACCTAAATCCCAGGACACGACACAACTGGATACAAAACTAAATATATACATTAAATGTCATAAATAGTGAATGAAAACAAGAATATGATATCATGACACACTCAGCAATATTCTGTTTATTACACTTACTATAACGCTACATGTATTATATCAAGTCTGGACATGGTACACCAATAGTTCATATAGGAACAGATCAAGACATTTGCAAAATTGCAAAAATGCACATACTTCTTTAATGTACCAATTCAACACTAGTTAGTTATTTCAGTTTCAGAATGATATTGTATTGCTCGGCTGCCAAACAAATGTGTGATTGCATCATTTTTCTTATCAGTTTGACAACACTTCTACAAAAAAAGAACATGACAAAGGGTTTCAGGTAAGTTCGATTTCTGGGACATTGATAGATGGAAGAATTCATTCTGGAATTGTTTGTTTGTGTGTTTGTTGTTTTATGCAGCACTCAGCAATATTCCAGCTATATGGCAGTGGTCTGTAATTAATCAAGTCTTGACCAGACAATCCAGTGATCAACAGCATGAGCATTGATATACGTAACTGGAAAAGATTGGTTGACTTTTCCTAAGAATGTTTAGCCTCAATTGTCCTCTTCACCATTCCTTGCCAATGTCATGCAAATATGGATCTTGAAATCTGATTGGCTACTACTGGCACCATGAACCAATCATTAAGCTTGAAACAAAATTCTTTGGTGCAAGTTGGTGCTTTTTTATTGGGCATCTTGTGTATTGTGTTATTTCATACTACGTCATATGATTAGGTCTGTTTATGTTGTCATAGCAACAGATTCATTGTCTGCATAAACATTTAATTCTAAAGGCCAATTACCATATAGCCAACATGTATTTGTCTCAATTCACTTAACTACCATTACTTACATGTAGCTAATCCCCATAGTTAATCCTCTTCATCACTGTATTGTAAATTTACTGCCAGCCAGCCTGAAAGAGCTACGCAGCAAAGTCACTTGAGGTGACCTGCTATATAGGCATTGGTATTCACTGTTAATCTTTCATCCGTCGCCAAGACTTGTAATGGTATTATTTATTTAGCAGGGCTCCAGATAAGTTTTCAACATCAAGAGTACATACTCCATATTTTTCCAATACAGGAGTACTGGAAAACCTTAAGAGTACATTTAGAGTACTGAATGGAATTTAATGGAGTATCAGTAATCTTGTGTTTCGTTTCATATATGCACCACAACATTGCTACGCTTAAGTTTAAAGGTAAAAAAACAATAAAACAATAATGTTTCAGAAAAATATGTCTGTAAATGATTCTAAGACCGTACACCATTGCCGTTGTGCGTATCTTCTACATTTTCTAAATTATTTCCTACCGTATCATGCATATTTTTTATCCGTACATACGCCGATATGGCCCTTATCTGGAGCCCTGTTTAGAGACCATGATCCAAATGAAATTATAAACTGTTTTACAAGGTCAAAACCACAATGGTTATTATTTTCATGTGTTTAATTCCAAACAAAATACATCCTGCTATTTATTGCAATATATGACAAACGATTATCTTTCATTCTTCTGAAAGTATGTTGACTTAGATACAAGATTTGGAATGTCATAATAATTGTAGTGGGTGAGTGAGTTTAGTTTTTCGCCATCTATAGCAATATTCCAGAAATATCACAACAGGGGACACCAGAAATGGGCTTTGCACATTGTACCCATGTGGGGAATCAAACCCTGATCTTCAGCTTGATGAAGGAACGCCTTAACCACAAGGCTACCCCACCAACCCCAATAATAATTGTAGAAATCCTATTACCTGCAGAAAAAGGGACAGTGAGTCAACCTTTCTGTAACATTAATTATAAGCAACAGGTAATCCCAGTCGTTACATGGGATTGCTTGCCTCATTACACAAGAGAAGTTTCTGCACCAAAAGCTAAGCTGCGGATGTAAGCTTATCATGTGATCAGACTTTTCAATTGTTTGTAAACAAAGGCTCTTATTTTAGAAAGAAAAACACATGGACCTAATGCAAGCCTTTCACTTTCAGTGTGCTTTACACCTTGTTTTGCATAAGTATATAGATATACTACTTCAGCTAGTAATTTGCATGACAATATGGCGTGACTCATTGATGTGACCTTGCTAGCTCTCCATGAGGTTTTGATAACAGCATGTGGATGAATATGCAAATACATCTTCTCATGATTTATATTTTTTCACTGTTAAACAACCTGTGAAGATCTGGGTTAGAATTGGTCTTCAGTAACCCATGCTTGTCGTAAGAGGCAACTAACGGGATCGGGTGGTCAGGCTCGCTGACTTGGTTGACACATGTCATCGGTTCCCAATTGCGTAGATCGATGCTCATGCTGTTGATCACTGGATTGTCTGAACCAGACTCGATTATTTACATACCGCCGCCATAGGGCAAGAATATTGCTGAATGTGGCATTGAACATCAAACCAACCAACCTGAAAGTTGAACATTTCATGACATATGTATATAAAATACAATAAGGTAATAATGTGAGGAATGTGAAGGGAGGTAAGTCTGTAATTACATAATGTGTAGGCCACTAGAAAATATGGTCAGAAATATAAGTTAACATGTGTATCATATAGCAGTAAGTAGCAGACCGAAAGTTTAGCCAACACACATCCCAAGTGACAAAGAAACTATACTGTCACATCTGTGTTGGAGAGCGATAGGCTTCATGCAACAGAGGCATATTTATATTGTAAGCTAGGCTTTAATAATATGCTTTCTGATCTCATCAAGCTGGCAACTGGTACTTTGTAGCTCATCCATAAGAAAAACATATGGGATTTCTCCTCATTTTCCTATTAATAAAAATACAATGACTGATTTGGTTTGGTTTGGTTGCTGTTTAAAACCGCACTCTGCAATATTCCAGCTATATGGCGGCGTTCTGTAAATAATCTTGTTTGGACCAGACAATCCAGTGATCAACAGCATGAGCATCAATCTACGCAGTTGGGATACGATGACATGTTGTCAACCAGTCAGCGAACCTGACCACCAAGTCGCCTCTTACAACAAGCATGGGTTGCTGAAGATCAATTCTAACCTGCATCTACATGGGTTATACAATGACTGAAGAAATAGAACTCTGCATAGCGCTTGTTCAGTATCATTTTGGTATGAATCAGACATCAACTAAAGGTGTAATGTCACACTCCTACATTATATCATGTATCAATGAAAAACACACTGAACCGTCAAAATTCTTTCCCTTATATTCTGAAATATGGGGATGTTGCCTCCATATAGACTTTTTTCTTTTTTAACTCCTGAATTTATATAACTGTGGAATCGTATTTTGAAAACACAAACATTAAGCATATGCTTCAAAACATGTAAATGACAAACATATTACATCTGAATACATCTAAATACCCTGAAACTGATCTAAGATATTGTTTATGTGGCGGCCATAATATGTCCAAAGTCCTGCCCTGGGATTCAAGCCACAGACCTTATTATCCGAGGCCAGATGCCTTGTCCATATGACCAAAGAGTTTAACCCCGTCAGCAAGATGACAAGGTAACGGGATGACTCCACGCCCTGATAACTTTACAACCTCATAACTCCTTGGGACAAGCACAAGTTACAATGGATTATATGTTTTCAGACAGTATACGCTTTGAATGGCAGTGTTTAATGTTGCCATAACAATTTAGTTTGCATCACAGTTATTGTAAATGCTTGGATGATGGCTTTAATATAAGTTGCCTTTATTAAGTGACATGTTTTACCATTTTAACAATTGTGCATGCAATAATCAGCAGAACAACAGATGTTCCTTAGTATAAAAAACCCCAAATCACAATCCTAATAGAAATTGCAATACATGTAATAAAGACTGGTATGTAGTAGGATACAAAAAATGTCTAAACCCAACATTGTCATAATGATCGGAATGAGAACAAATTTTACTCAGTAGTGCCAGTTGCTTCAAATCTGGAAGCATGCTGTCAGTTACAGACATTTAGTAAGGAGTATTGGTATATGACTTTGGCAGCATTTATGTCATGACTATTTACTACATCAAGATGAGACACAATGCTTGTGCATTAACAGATAACTAACCCGGCCAACTGCAGTGAACAACAGTGAATACCTAACACGCACATGATGGACACATGAACTAAAATTGTTTGTCTGTTAAGGATCACCATCAAGTCATGTTGACTATCCTGCAAATACCAATTAGATATATACACCAAACTGAAGAATGCGCTACCTTGTCTGTCATACTCACGTGTTAATTTGGAATCGAATAAGTGGGTGGAGGATAGTACAATAACACTGTGTTGTTCCAACCGGCGTGTTGAACCGCAGATCACACCATAACAGTAACCGCGCAGTGAAGACGAAAGCGATTTTCTATTGGCTTTGAAAATGAAAAAAAATGCGTAGTTATAAACACATAGCAATATCAAAATACGCACTGTCTTTAACACTTTTCTGAGCACCAATTTAATCAAGTAATGTTTTAGAATAGTAATTTATTTCTGTGGCAAAACCAAAACTCTAACAGGAATTTATAACGAACTAAGATTTTTTCACAAATTGAAAACGACAAAAAGCGATAACCCAAATGTGCACAGACTTTATAAAGCGCTTCACATATTTCCATTCCATCTGATTTACTTTTTGCGTATATTTTCAGTCTTGTTTCGTAAGAATAAAAAATATAATTGGCGCCACAACCCTTATAATATCAGCTCGGTTTATACTTCATGACGTATTCAAAATTTAAATCTAAATCTATTCCACCATGTTTTTAATGGTCAGCGGGGGCTAACATTTATTAGTATTTCCCGAAAAGACGTTATGTGTAAAATTACATAAATAAATATAAAATCACAAGAAATCTGAAATGGAATCCAAGAGTTTTGGGAAGCGTCAAGTTTCATAATTTCACGCGTGAACGGAGTAAAGCAGAGACCAGATGAGGTGAGGGTAGTCCGCAATACAGACCCTGAAACAAATACACTAGAATTGCTCCAAGGCGGTACTGAGGTCTGTAAAAGAAACTAAGATAAGCGGGACGTTGGCTAGCCTATTGGATAAAACCAGACAGGTTATATCATTTTGATCATCAGGTTGGATCCTTCACACACTCTTCTGGAAGAGTAAGTGAGTGAGTCAGTGTATGAAATAAGGCCCGTCCGACCGACCGAGACGGTCTAGATTTCTGACGGACGGTCTAAATTTACAGCTAGCCAGCCCGATGGTCTGGTAAAAATTTTAGATGGTTCATACATCTGGGTAAATTCACCATATTTGGTCTAGTTAAATCCAATTTGGGCTGGTAACATTTTGAAGTTACCAGCACTGATGTCTGGCTGGATTTTTGGCTTATTTCATACATTGAGGGAGTTTAGTTTTACGCCGCTCTCAGCAATATTCCAGATATATGGCAGCGATCTGTAAATAATCGAGTCTCGACCAGACAATCCAGTGATCAACAGCATGAGCATCGATCTGCGCAATTGGGAACCGATGACATGTGTCAAGCAAGTCAGAGAGCCTGACCACCGGATCCCGTTAGTCGCCTCTTACGACAAGCATGGGTTACTGAAGGTTCATTCTAACCCGGACCTTCACGGGTCTCTGCTCGAAGAACAACGAGTTCGAAGAACGAGTTGTTTCTCTGCTCCCATGACATCTTCTCGTTCAATACAAAACATCCAAATGCACTACTGTAGTATGACGTTCTATATATTTATTACTATCATTATTGTCATACTGATACATCAGAGGTTCCTTTACTTGTTAATACGTGGCTGAACCATCTGCGATGCCTGTTTGCCTGTTTCCCAGGACACAAAAATTATGTGTTTCACTATCAATGTTAAAAGAGTGTTATATCAATACTTTGATGCATAAAAAGTCATCTGTAAAACTACGGCCCTGCTATCCACTGGTACGCAAGCGAAGATTGGACAGTTAGTTTTGTGTATTCGCATGTAAGTTCAAATTTATTGCGTATTTACCAAAATTCACTTAATAGACTTAATAGAAATTGAGTTTTCACATAAATATTTACGTAATTTACACAGATACGCAGCTTATCTGTACCTCTGACTAGACATCTTATTTCTCGTTCCATATCCCCACACAATATTCCACAAGGAGCTAAGATTTTCCCGAAACTACAGAAATCTCGATTGGCCATGTAATATAGTTTTGCACGAGATGTATTGGATATATTGGTTTTAGGATCTGTTTGACGGACTAAGAATATCGAGGTGTTTGATCGTTAAGGGAACTGAAAGAATTTTATTTACGCTATCACAGTGGATCACAAAGTATACGTGATCTGGACTAACAGTTGGCAGACTTCCATTTTGTGAGGAAGCTGCGGTGGCTGAGAGAGTGAGAAGGTTGACTTTGTGTGCTGGCGATTAGGTGCCTGACTCTGAGTGTGGGTTCAAATCCAGGATGGGACTCAACCTAAGAAAGGTACCAACGAAGGATAGAGTTAGGGGTTACCTACCCTAACACACCTCAACCTGGGAATAATATAGAGGCACATGAGATGAGTGAATCGAAAGCTACATCCGGAAGTCTGGGCCGGTTTAACCTCACTTTCCCCCCAGTTTAATGTTTGGATAAGGGATTAGGTGGTCACTGGACTGTGGATGTGGGACTATGGTCTGTTCTACTTAGTGAACACTTCTCACTATCAGTAAAAGGGAGCTAAGGACAATTGGTGAAATCAATTCACTTATAAATTGTGAACTGTTTTAATAGGTCTTGATGTAATAATAAATTTGAAATAAAAACAAATAAATTACTGAGATTTAATCATAGCTTATCGTTTTGACACAAATAGCTCCTCTGAATCACAAATGGTCATTCCAAAACTTTAGATTTGCTAATACTAAAAGTGGTCAGAATGTAGTGTTAGATGGTTTCAAATTCAGAGTTACGTCTAGACGTAATATTATCACATACTGGGAATGTTGCAAAAAAGCCTGCACAGCCAGAGTTACCATTCGCGATGGTATTCTAGCATCGCCTCTTCCTCAACACAATCACCCTTCAGAGGAGAGACAAGATAGCAGTCCAAGAGGTCGTGCAGCAGATGAAGGCCAGATTCAGAGCAGACTGCAGAGCTGTACCTTCTTTGTACAAGGAAGAGCTTTGAGGTAAGGCCTTTGCAAATTATAACCTTTTATTTATAAATAAAATTAATCATCAGAGAGATGTCAAGATTTTATCCTTTCATTGAGAATCTATTAACACAATTAGTTTCTTTTATGTCCATACATCTATAAATAAGGCTGATCATCAGATCAGAAGATTTTAATATATACCTTTTCATTGTTTCAGCCTTCAACAACCGTAAAGGACATGATATGGCGGCAACCGTCCCTACATTCTACAGCTTACAAGCCAGTCTGTATCGGTCCCTTGCCAAGAACGTCCCACCTCTTCCGCTACAGACTATACCTTAATCCCCTTTGTTAACTTTAAAATTGGTGGACCCAGACTCTAAACAATAGATGTGGGGAATATGAGGTGTCCCCTCTGGGCCAATTAGCGATTAAAGCTGCCCCAGGAAAGAGCCGTGTTGCCATGACGTTGATTCGTGTTAATACATTTCCCTGTTCCGCGCACAAATCCTACTTTTAACTTTGCCAACATTTCTGCGAGGCTACAATTTACAGTCGCGGCCATTTTGCGAAATTTGCGCATTTCATTTAAGGTGAAATCATTCCTTCGGCAAGACGAACTGTAAACATTGAGTGAAAGCTATTCGCGCACAATTGGTGAGTAATTTCGCTGCGATTGGCGTATTGCGTTTTCCAGATCCGTTCGTCCTTTTTATCGGTAAAGGTATGAAGCCAAATGCCATGCATTGATTTGAGCAACACTTCGCGCCGAAGTCTCTGATTGTCTTCAAATCACAAGAAATGTGTTTAATATAGGTACCAATATCCGACAATGATTTGGCAGTTCCTTGTAGCTTCAAATACGCATTTATCAGTTGATAGTGTTGAAACTGTATATAGATTCTAGATAAAAAGTAATAATCAAGAGCCATGAAGCGTTCTTAGGAAAACAAGATGTCGGCGAAACCACCAGCTTTGATCTTGAATAGGTGTTAATGAAAATCAATGAAAATATTGTAAAATCTGTACATGACTATTTTACCGTAACAAAACGATTTTTTACCTAATTGATTAATTATACTACTGTCTTTTTCATTAAGTCTTTTACTCCTCAAATGGTGTGTTCTCTTGTCTGTAATGATGAATGTATATAAAATGTTTTCCATCGCATTGTATTTCGGAGAGGTATTTTTATAGGCTTATAGCCTGTTTACCAATCCGTTCATTTAATAATGAATAAATATTGTTTAAATGGAATAGGTGTTACAAAACAGTGTAGGCTATCGGTCCATGACTACAATTCAATAATCAATTTTCAAGACGTGTGAACAATGAATCTATAAAGATGATTTGATATATTTAATATTTATGTTGTTTTAACTATCAATACTTAGTAGAGCAGCATTAGCTTTATCAGTTTATAGATGTACATAGATATGTTTCTTAATAATTCACCATTCGTTGGTTTCACATAACTTTTCAACTCACTGTGCGCATGCGCAGAGCGTGTGAAAAATATCCACTGGCATGCTTCCGGTTTGGTCGTATGTTTATCGATAGTGTAAATGCACACTAAATAAAAGTTATGAAAATTATTTACGTTGTGACAACAGTTCATAGCTGAGTACATACTTCCATTTGCCTCTGCTTTTCAATAATTACTGTCCTATTTTGGTTGCAACTCCATCAGAAATGTGTTGTTTAGTTGTGAGAAGGGGATCTGCAGGAAGGACGGTGGTGGTGAGATGTCTTTATACAAGAGCTTGTTAACATAACTTAAGCTATTTATTTAACCAATCCTGGCCTCTGTTTCATAAATCAACTGGGATCAGTTGTATTCGACATAAAACTATATATTTGTTTTGATTTTTGTTTTGGAGTGTTTACACTATCGATAAAATACGGACAAAACCAAGCATGCCAGTGGATAGTTTTTACACGCTCTGTGCATGCGCACTGCGAATTGAAAAGTAATGTGAAACCAATGAATTAGAAGAAGTTGACATTAAGCATGTTAAGATATTGAACTTAGACCTGGTTGGAAATGGTGTATAATATTTTCAAGGTATATGTTGTTGCCTTAGATCCCTATATGATTGACAGACAAGAAGAAAATGAAACTCATCCTCCTCATAGCCAATCTTACACATACTTGATAACCTAGCATTTGTATTGGTATTGGAATACCATCCAGTTTCAATATTGAGCTGATGAAAAGAACACCTGAACTGAGCTAATGCATATCTAAACTGATACACTCAATATCTGACTTCTTTGAAAGGGAAGTTTTAAAACAAGAATATATGAAAGGTTTACTACCATTTTGAAGTGAACCTCGCCAATGTTGCTCATTTATAAATTTAAAGGGGGGAATAACAGAGACAAAAGGAAACTGGACTGATGACGACTTGTTGTTCCCAGATATACTCAAAACCTAAACTGGACAACAAGTGCTTACATTTAGTTGCCCTGTTATCTTTTCCGGCATTAGAAGCTTGTACCAACATATTGTAACAGGTTTTTAATTGTTGCGATAGCTAGGCATAGACAATAATTTTAACCCAAACTTTATTACCCTGTTATACACCAGAATATATGTAGGGAAACGACCACATTCGCCTTGAGCTACGTTATTAGATGTTGATGATATGACACCAAGGAACCTTTTGATTGCCTGTGTATGGACAGACTCAGCATAATCATTTTGGTGAAAACCCCATACCTCTGCACCATAAAGAAGAATAGCTGTTTTCCTATTGAAAATTCTGAAGAATAAATCGAAAGATACCCCTTTAATATGTTTTAAGGAACGCAAGATGGCAAACAGAACCTTTTCATCTTGAATTGAAGCGTTCTTAGAATGGCAAGACGAAGACAAACTTCTAGTGAATGTAATACCAAGATACTTACATTAATTTACACAATCTAGCCTCTTTCCATTATAGAACCACCTTTCCTTTTGTGATAGAGGTCCACCTCTTTTAAAGACTATTTTCTTTTTATCCAAATTAACATCAAGACCATATTCAAGACAAAATCTTTCCAATGTATCAATAAGAATAAGATAACCAGAAACACTCTTTAAAAACTGCTTGATCTTGTTGAATAAAACATATCTGCCATATTGCTTGTTAATTTCAGACAAAATGGATGCTAAGAATGATGTAGCTCTGTCAGATGACAACCTGGAAGGTGATTGTGGCAGTGACTTTGGTGATGGCGCGGCCTTTCCAAGTGATTGGACTGTGCTAGACGATGCAGATGAAGATGGTGACATGACAAACATGACCGTGGTGGAAGAAGTTGGAGACGAGGATGACAGTGATATAGTGATTGTGGAAGAAAAAACTGTCATACCTGCTAAGAAACCTGCTCCCAAACCCGCAGATGTCAAAACTGGACCCAAAACTGACCAAAAGAGCCCAAGCAGTAAAACAGGTGCCGCCAAAGTGGCCGAGAATAAACCAAAAGGCAAGGCTGATGATAAACCTGCTGCAGCGCCAAAAGCTTCAGCTAAACCTGTTGTGAAGACTCCTGAAAAAAAGCCTGCTGTTGAAAAGAAACCAGCGGCTGTCAAAACATCAGCAGTGGGTAAGAAACCTGCAGTGGTGGAGAAAGTGGTTAAAGAGAAGGCTACTGATGACGACCTAGAATCCATTGAAGGGGATATGGGAGATGAAGACATGGAAGCAAACAAGGATGCAAAAGCTGCAGTTAAGTCAAAAAAAAACAATCTCCCGCCAGATCAGAAGCTCCACCACAGAAGGGTGATGAACCCAAATCTGGAGGGAACGAGGCTAAAAAGACCACCAAAACACAACCAAAACCAACAACACCTTCAAAGAAAGTAACTGAGTCACCGATAAAGGTAAAGGAAGGCGATGCTAAGACAGAGGATGTGAAGGCAAACAAGAGAGCAGAAGCTGAAATTCAGAGGGAAAAGGCAAAGGAACTGCTTGCTGATGTGTTCTCTCCAAATGTGCTCCAGATGATGACTGAAAGAACAAGTGATCTTTCATCCAGTAGGTTTAGCTTTTGTATTTTCAGAGTTTGCTGAATTTTGAATATGCTTCACTGGCTTTACGTGGACAAATTTTGGTAACCTTAAGAATTGTGGAAAAACACTGACAAGCCATGGATTTATTGTGCCAATACTATAATAACAAGAGGCTAATTTAGGGGCTTATCTTGACCTGCATAGAGGCTGATATGATATCACAAATCTGCAGCAAATGACAGGAATCATTTCTCATTTGAATATAATAATTTCCAGTTTTATTGTATCTAATCCTTCTCTGACAGATTGTTCAATGTAAATTTGTTGTCAAGCTTACTCATGTATTATCCTTGTGTTTCTAGAGATGAAGATGGCACTGGGAGATCTTGAAATTTCTGATCTGGATTCAAAGGAAAGGTCATGGGACCGTAAGTGATTAATTTCTGTCACTTTTGTTGACATGTGTTACCTCTATCTTGTATTGGTTAAACATCAGCAAATGTAGCATCATGAAATTTAATTTTCTTTGTTGAAAATGCTTTTCATGTGTCATCATTTTAGTAATGATCTTGTCTCTTCTAATTGCATTTCATTGTGATGTATCTTTCCATTTTGAATAGGGATGTCTTGTTTTGAAAGTTCATTGGTTATATGTGGGTTACCCTTGTGGGTAAAGTGTTCCTTGTCACAGTGAAAAAACAGGTTCGATTTGGTGTAAACCCAACTCACTCACTCACTCTGGGTTACTACCTGTGAAGATCCGGGTTAGAATTGATCTTCAGTAACCCATGCTTGTCGTAAGACTACTAAGAGGCGACTAACAGGATCTTACAGCACTGAAACCAAGATAAATGTCCCTTGTCTTCATGCTTAATGTTTGACGGTTTCCAATTGTTTATTTCAGGCACAGCCAAGTGGTATGTGAAGGTGTCACCTGTTGACCATGTAGACCTGGCTGATCTGGGCATAAAGAAAGCCATGAACATTTCCCAGGGCTCTGCATTTTTCTACATTGGAAAGGGAAACAAACGTGAAGGGTAGGCATCTTCATTGGTTTTGTGTTATGGCTCTCTCCTGTCATGGATAGGTGGTTCGTTAATAAAGGTGAACTTCTTATGGATGTTCTGTAAGATATTTAGATAATTCATCTTGGAAACTGAATTATTTGAAAAAGGCATTGTTTCATGTTTTCAAGGTTGCTGAAAACATGAGAACTATCCAGTGATAATGCAGTTAAATATGTCAGGTTTGTTACATTGGGTAATGTACACATGAAGATATGGGTTAGACAGCCCTGGCTTGTCATAGGAGGCGAGTAATAGGATCAGGGAGTTAGGCTCACTGACTTGGTTGATTCATGTCATCATATCAGAGGTGCGTAGATCCATGCTCATGATGTCAATCACTGGATTGTCTGGACCATACTAGTTTCTGGTTAAAGTGTAATTGTACTAAAGAGAATGTGAAAAGAAATCTCCGTGGGGTTGGGATGATTAAAAGTACCCAAACATTCTTTTGTCATGCAGTATACTTTAAGCAAGCACAGGGGGCGGTGGGGTAGCCTAGTGGTTAAAGCATCCGCTCATGCCAAAGACTCGAATTTGATTCCCCATATGGGTACAATGTGTGAAGCCCATTTCTGGTGTCCCCTGCTGTGATATTGCCGGAATATTGCCAAAAGTGGCATCCGCTCAAAACCACACAGACAGCAGCAACAGATCTCACTGGTCAGGTCATCAGTTGTTGATCCTCAACTGACAACAGCAACAGATCTCACGAGTCTAACCATACTCACTCACTCACTAAAGGGAGCACAGGTGGCACTGTCATCCCAGGTGCCAAAATTCATTGTATGAAAGTATATCCCATTGACTTTTGATCCTGGGTTTGAATCCCAGTTCATCTTGATTATATGTCTGGGTTTGTTACCACCGCAGCCATTGTCATGGGTTTCACCAATGTGTTAAATGTCTAAGACTGTCATCACTTTGGACTCTCCTTCCACATCACACTCAAAGCTGCAATAAAAGTGACAATACCGTTCCAGGAAGTGTTAAACCAGATTCATCTGGGCTCGAAAAATTAAAAAATCTGCACTTGCCCTGTAGGGTGAGTAATATGAACTTTCCACTCGTCCTTCTAAAATTGTACTTTCCCTATAGATCATGCATCACAATGAATATAAATTTAAATTATTTTATTTAAAAATGTTTGCTTGGAATAAAACTACAATAAACATTACTTACTTTGTCTTCTGTACAAAATCTTTGACAAAATTGAATTCGTTCACCATTTAAGATAGCTGAACTTCAAGGAAAAAGAAAAATGTTACGTTTGGGTCAGAAAATGTAAATTATGTTTTTCACTTGCCCGAAACAAATTTTACTGGTCAATACAAACGGACGAGTGGAATTTTCGAGCCCTGTTCATTAACTTCAAGGGTTCCATTGAAGCACCATTTGTAGTATAAGTTGATAATGTTTCAGACAAATGATGTTCCTCTTCAACCAGTACAAGGATGCGCAGCTGATTGTCAACAAGCTTGCGTGCATACCCTTCAAGTCGGAGGTTGTTAATGTGCATCTGAAGAGGAAGAAGAGTAAAACCAACACAATTCCAGAAGTTGGTGAGGAATTGTTTTGTTTGAATAGGACATTTATAAAACATGTTTCTGAGGTCAAACAGCCTAATGATGCAGGCCAGTGGTAAAGGCATTGTCTCTCATTTTGAAGGTCCCTTCAAGGGTTAAATGCTTGAAGCCCAATTGGTGTTCCCTGCCATGACATTGAAGTATTATTGCTAGAAGCTGTTTAAAGCCATACTCACTCATACATTCTTTAATGACCTTAAGTAGAATAGGGGTAGTTGGGTTTGCCTTGTGGTTAAAGCATTCACTTGTCAGGCCAAAGATTTTGGTTCAATTCCCTACAAAGGTAAAATGGGTGAAACCCATTTCTGGTGTGCTCTGTTGTGAATTTGCTGGAATATTGCTTTAAAAAGCCACTTAAAACTGTACTGCTAAATATTCAGTCATTAAAAAACATTGTGTATTTGGGTCTCCGCAATATCATGTCTATTATAAAACTACTAGTATGGTTCCCTTTGGAGATGAATGCGCACATATAACGTTAATAAACTGAAAAGCTGTTTTAAGCAATGCTAACAAGACTTTGTTTACGAGACAGTAACATTTAATAATCTACACTGACCCTACAATAACTGTCAATTTTGTCTACTTGACTCCTGGACAGGTAGGAATCAATGTTGTTTCTTCGCTAGCAGAAACATTACTAGCAATGCTAGAGGGCAGCTGTTTTGGATACTGCTTGTTAAAAGCGAGCTATGTTAAATCTTTTTGTTGAACTCTATAACTTGTCATTTGGGCATCATGTTACACCTTTGATTGGAATGTTGTTCTTTACATCAACCGCTGGTTCGTCTTCCCATGAGATTTCAAGACCTTTTGGATTAAGCTAAAGAATTGATGATTGCAGTTGAAAACAAAATATCAAGTCCATTTTGTGAACAAAACAATACTTATTTGAAGAATCCCAGACAGCCTCACCCTTAACTTGACTTGTTTAAATGGTTGTCCCTGAACACCTATGAATCTTGGGATCTCATTTGCATATCGCTTACCTCCCTTGGTGTGACCTAGATGTCTATTTTTGGAAACGCGGAAATGAACTTAATATCATGACGAATGAAAGCTGCGATCGTTTTTAAAAATAATGTGTACTTATTAGCTCACGTCAATTATTTGAGAATGGAAGTTAATCTACGAAGATTTAGCCATGTATACTTTGATATTGCCTCTCCACAAAAATAAACATTAGTGTTTCATCAAAAGCTTGGATCCAAGAGGACGAGGGGTATGTAAAAAAATATGAGTCCTGTCAGAATTTATTACGTCAGAGGCTGGACTAGGGACCCTCACCCTTAACTTGCTTTTTATGAGGGGTGAGATTTATCCCTGCTATGACTCTCTTCTTTCTAGGTTGAATTGTCCATTTCACCCTTAACTTGACTTTTTTAAATGGTTGTTCCTGAAAACCTATGACTCTCTCCCTTCTAGGTGAATTGTCCATTTATACCAAATCCCAGACAGCCTCACCCTTAACTTGACTTTTACAAATGGTTGTTCCTGAAAACCTATGACTCTCTCCCTTCTAGGTTGTTCCTGAAAACCTATGACTCTCTCCCTTCTAGGTGAATTGTCCATTTATACCAAGTCTGCCACCAACCTGGCTGTGCCCATTCGGGGGAAGGAAGCGACTTACGGTAAGTAACACTTGACAGTCTAGAATGGAAAAGAACGGTGGAGGGATTGTGGTCTTGATGAATGACTGGCAACAAGACGCTGTCTTTCTTGGATATTCACACATAGGCTAGACTGTTTCATTGGTTTTGTGTGGTTTTCTCTATATATCTCCTTTGGGCATATTTTGTTTTCAGAGATTCTTACGCTAACTCTTGGTCTCCAAAGATAATCCTCAATTGCCTTAAACATCATATCATCTTTATCCTGTTTTGTTACCCTGTAGTCACCATTTTGTGTAAAGGGAGAAAAACAGTGGTAAAAATTAGTGAGACCCCACTTTCATTGGTGCTGTCACTGTTGACTGTCTGCCATTCACTGCCTTACATGTTACTGTCTTCTCAGCATTGTCATTTGGTTCGAAAGGAAACTATCTCTTCATAATAATGTGGTTTCTGCGTTGACATGGAATCATGGACAACTGGGATAATCTTGTTGCTTGTTTGGTTCCTGAAACATCTGGGTTTGGTTGCATGTAAAGAGGCTTTGAAAGAAAATTCACAAAAATACGACAGATTTTGATGACTTGTTGGTGTTGCCATTTATCAAAGGTCACATGTGTGGTCCACTTAATATATATAGAAGACAAAGCAGAGGTGACAATCATGGAAACAACAATACCTGATGAGGAGATTTCAAACTGTTTAGCACATGTCAGTTTTGAACATTTTCAGTGTTTACACTGTATGGTCACGCACAGAACAAGCTGATTGTCACATTGGTAATGCAAGAAACCTGTGTGCATGTTCACAAGTCATGGGACCGTTTTGTGGCAGACATTTGGGTAGTTTGCTTCCTAGTGGATATCAGACCAGTGAAGACTTGTAGAATGACACAGTGGAGTCTATGGGTTTGATAGCTCTTGGAATCAGTTGAAGATTCTCACTATTCTGGCAACAGAAGATTCTCACAGTGTGTACATGGGCAGATTGTCACCTGATAGACATGAAGAGATTCATGTCACCAGCAAGATAACTATCTGCAGTAGGTTCTCACCCTACATGTCCTCAGGAAAAGTAGAATCTCACATAATGCAACATTAGCCAGAGAACCATACCATCGAACCCATTAAGAGAATATTTTCACCTGACTACTCAGTCTGGATGTCAGCTGTAAATACTGAACAGAAGATTTCACGAGTTGGTACTTCAGTGGTTGGTTCTCAACAGATACCAGCAACAGATCTCACGAGTCGGTACTCCTGTGGTTGATTCTCAACAGACAACAACAACAGATCTTACGAGTCGGTACTTCAGGTGTTGGTTCTCAACAGATAACGGCAACAGATCTCACGAGTCAGTACTTGTTGGTCCTCAACAGACAGCAGCAACAGATCTCTTTGGTTGGTCCTCAACAGACAGCAGATCAACAGATCTGGCAACGACAACAGTTCTCACGTGTCGGTACTTCAGTGGTTGGTCCTCAACAGATAACAGCAACAGATCTCACAGGTCAGGACATCAGTGGCTTGTTCTCAACTGACAACAGCAACAGATCTCACGAGTCTATACTTCAGTGGTTGGTCCTCAACAGACAGCAGCAACAGATCTCACAGGTCAGGACATCAGTGGCTTGTTCTCAACAGACAGCAGCAGCAGATCTCACAGGTCAGGACATCAGTGGCTGGTTCTCAACTGACAACAGCAACAGATCTCACGAGTCTATACTTCAGTGGCTGGTCCTCAACAGACAGCAGCAGCAGATCTCACAGGTCAGGACATCAGTGGCTGGTCCTCAACAGACAGCAGCAACAGATCTCACGAGTCTATACTTCAGTGGCTTGTCCTCAACAGACAGCAGCAGCAGATCTCACAGGTCAGGACATCAGTGGCTGGTCCTCAACTGACAGCAGCAACAGATCTCACGAGTCTATACTTCAGTGGCTGGTCCTTAACAGACACCAGCAACAGATCATCTCACCAGTCTAGGATCAGTTTATTAACATCAACAGAAGATCTCATGGGTCACCATCTCACCAGTATATCCTCTGCTGGGGCATTGACAGAAGATTTCACCAGTCAAGACATCAGTAGCTGATCCTCATCAGACAACCGCAATTGAAGATCTCACCATCCAGGGGTCAGTGGTGGCCATTATCTTGACCCATCAATAGATCATCTCACCACAGACCACACCAGTCAGAACATCGGTGGTTGGTCCTCACTAGACAATGACTACAGCAAGTATATCGAGTACGGACATTGCTGGTGGTCCTGAGCTGACACATCAAAAGAAGATATCACCAGTCTGGACATTGAAATGCATTTACAGCATGCTCTTCATCATGAGTGGATTTGTGGTTTGCATTGAGATTTATAATGTTTTTCGGTATCAAAGACTAAACGAACTTAGCAACAGCTATTTACTTATTACAAGAAATACATAAATCTGTGAGTAGATTGCACACTTGTGTGCTGGACATTGGTAACTACTGACATGTTGATGTCCTTGACCAGTGATGCCAGGGAAAACACCGGGTTCACAAATCTGGATTGCTGACTAATAAATCACAATGATCCTGAAGCAGTGGCCAAGGACAAGATTATCCATATTGCAATGAAGCAGTCATACGTGGTGAGCTGTGTCATCAAGATCGATAAGTGTTGGAAAAAACCCTAGGCACCTTGCACTAGTTTTGGATGAGCTGTACCTGAAAATGTCTGTCATGTCTAGTGTTGTTGGGAAAAGTGATTAGTTTGGTCTTTTGTACTTTGGTCAAAGTGATATGTAGTTCAGTGGCAGTATTTGGTTGGACAGTGCTCTGTTGTCAAGACAACATGAGGCTGCTTTGCTGTGGGAAGTGTCTGTTGGATCACAGTAAGAAGTTTCACATTCTTACAACATGCTAGGCTAAATTACCATATCCTAACTTTGAACTAAACTGTCCAAGACATGATTTCTTTCAGGTTAATTCCTGTGTTACCAACTCATAATTGCAAACATAGTTACTCCCCTGATCTGATCTATGATGATGAGCTTGGCAAAGGATGAATATGGGCTGCTTTGAGGAGTGCAGTTCAGCTGTAAGTTTGGCTTAGTGATGAAGTGGCACTGTATGTGTGCAGAGGTGCCACTTCAAGTTAAAACTTGCTTGCTTCCAACAAAACATTGGGAGTGACTCCCATGGAATGCAACAACAGATTCCTGTTCCTGTTCCACATCAGCCAGACAGCTCTCAGATGGTCTGTGACCTGTGTTGGAGAAGAGCTGCTGTGTCATGTCTAGGGTTGTTTTGTTTCAGGGAAACCTATAAATAGACGATTACTCCTCCGTAACGTCCCTGTGGGAACATCAAGAGAGATGATTGAAGTCATGGTGCCCTACACACTTAGTGTAAAGTTCCAGGCATTGAAGGCTGGAGAGACAACTGGGTAAGTAGCAGTAGGGGAGTCTGTGAGGAAGGAAGATGTCCCCACCAGCCTGTCCCTCCTCGTACACTGGAGTCCCCAGCATACATGTACATTCCAGTGTTATAGAAAACCTACATTTCATCATTTGGTCCATCAAAATCATCTCATGCTTTTACTCAATTCATTTCTCATTTGCACACAAACTACACTCACATTAGTTCAACGGGTTTGATAGGGCTTCTACTGAAAGTGTTCATAATCACTGCTTGCATCTGGCTATGCAAGTTGTGAGTAGTAGGAGCTGTTATTACTGGGACTTGATGCATCAGAAGTAGCTGAATGTAGTGTTGCAGACAACCAGCAACCTGCCCAAGAGCAGTGGATAAAATATGTCAAGATCTGTCAAGAATATAGTGTTGCAGACAACCAGCAACCTGCCTAAGAGCAGTGGACTAAATATGTCAAAATCTGTCAACAATATAGTGTTGCATATAACCGGCAAGCTGCACTATGCTAGTGCATAAAATATGTCAAGATCTGTCAAGAAGAATATAGTGTTGCAGATAACCGGCAAGCTGCACTTTACCAGTGGATAAAAAATGTCAAGATCTGTCAAGATTATAGTGTTGCAGATAACCGGCAACCTGCTGAAGAGCAGTGGACTAAATATGTCAAAATCTGTCGACAATATAGTGTTGCAGATAACCGGCAAGCTGCACTATGCTAGTGCATAAAATATGTCAAGATCTGTCAAGAAGAATATAGTGTTGCAGATTACCGGAAAGCTGCACTTTACCAGTGGATAAAAAATGTCAAGATCTGTCAAGAATATAGTGTTGCAGATAACCGGCAACCTACCCAAGAGCAGTGGACTAAATATGTCAAAATCTGTCGACAATATAGTGTTGCAGATAACCGGCAAGCTGCATTATAATAGTGCATAAAATATATCAAGATCTGTCAAGAAGAATATAGTGTTGCAGATAACCGGCAAGCTGCACTATACCAGTGGATTAATTGTGTCAAGATCTGTCAAGAAGAGGAGATAGTCCAATAGTGTTTGTTCTGTGTTTACTTGTTCAACTCTGGTGACTCTTTGGGGAAAGATCATTATGCGAAAAAAACATTAAACACACAATAAGGTACCAAAGACTGCTATCTGTAAAAGGCAGATATTCCATGTCATTCCAGTTTCTAGATTGGATGGATGACAAAAATATACTCTGTATGAAAGCGTTAAAGTACCTGAAGAAATTAGATATGAACAGAACAATACCCATTGAATCTGTTGTAACTTCATGCAGAATGCATATATCGTTACAGACAGGTTACTACTGCATTGTTTCAATGTATATTTCTGTTCAGTCTTAAGACACTCTTTTGGGCGATGGGGTAGCCTAATGTTTAAAGCGTTCGCTCGTCACACTGAAGACCTTGGTTCGATTCCCCACATGGGTACAATGTGTGAAGCCCATTTCTGGTGTCCCCTGCCGTGATATTGCTGGAATATTGCTAACAGCAGCCTAAAACCATGCTCACTCACTAAGATTCCTCTTGATATCTGTGATTTGAGATGCTGGGAGTGTTAATCATGCTTGCTGTATGTGATTGAACAACACAGGTCTTTAATGTGCCTACCAAGTGTAGCTATATCTCCTTCCTGTGTAGACGGAAATGTCTGTGCAGTAGGAAGCCTCAATCAGATGGACATGAACTGTTGTGTGATGTTTTACCAGATACTGACGAGATGTGCAAGAATAAATACTGCACACACCTAATTCGGTTCACAATGAACACAACCTAATTCGGTTCACATTGAACACACCTAAAAAATTAGTTCACAATGAACCCATCTTGGCACATATCACTCCAAGATTCACTCCGTCAATTTGTGCTATGGACTTAAACTGTGGAAACTCAAGCAGCCATGATTGTGATGAGAAACTGTGGACTGTGTTGCTGTTGATGCGTCACAATGAACACATCTAAATTGGTTCACGATGAACCCATCTTTGCACATATCACTCAGTCAGTTTTGTGGTATGGGTTACTCTAGACTATAACATTGGAAGCTCATGTGACAATAATTGTGATGAGAAACTGTGGACTGTGTCACTTTGATGCCAGTCAAGCATATGATGGGTTGATACAAGTGGCAACTCAGGACCTTGACCAGGAATACTAGCATAGACTGGCTGAAGAAGATCTGATGTCAATGTGACAAGTGGCTGACAGAGGATGACGTTAGTCATGGGTTCACATGTTCAGGGTTCAAAATTAACAAGTCTACTGTCCATGACCAGTAAACTTCAGGAAGAACAAGTGACATTTCCTTGTGGAGAACCACTTTTTCCATACAGCTCTTTAGCAGATCATCTTTGTGGAATAGTGGAAACACAAGTTAATTTCTAACCCTGATGCATGTACCATACTACATGTGTCTCATGCTCTGATCAGATGTTGCTGGTAATAGCTGAACTGAAAAGTCCAACGTAAAACCCAATCACTGAGCTTAGAAAAAGACAATCTGTGAAATATGAAACCCATTCCATGCTATGACGCAGCCATAGAAGTCCAACTGGTTAATCTACAGGATTCCCGAGAGCTTGAACCCTTCTGATTGATAATTCATCCGCTTGTTTCACAATGGACATAGTGTGTATGTGCTGTGTGCGATCAAGTAGACTAATTTCCATATAATATGCAACAACATAAGGAAATACCCATGGATCCATTAAGAAAATATACGGCTTCTTTAGAGTCATGTTGAGGGCATATTGGAAAGATTTTCGTGCAGCTTGAGATCATGACTGGACCAATATAGAAGATGTCGTGAAATATCATCATGCCATCCCTGATGTCTCACGATAAATGAGGCATGGATGAGATTGAGTAGCCTTGATGAGACAGATGTCCACTTTATACCAATCATGCATGCTCCTCATTGAATGGCTGATCTATGTATATGCTGTATGTCTAAGTCATGACTGAAGAGGATTGCATCTCGTCACCTTCAGATGTCCAAAGACTTTTCTCCTAAGCATGAGATGGGTATTTGGATGTTAGGAAACAAAGCCAGTCTTTGACATGAGGAATGTGCCATAACACTGAACGAGATCCAGATGTGAGAAGCAGATGCAGTTTCTTGAAATCTGATTACTATCACGTGCTGCTGATCTTGACATACAAATTTCGGATGCATTTTCACTGTTGTGTCATTTGTTGAGATGTCACAGATTCATTTGGAATGAGAAGATAAAAGAATACATATTTGCATCGATTACTAGAAATTGCTTACTAATACTTGTACAATGTAACTGGTCTCCAGTGATGTTGGGTAGTGTTGATATCGCACCAGCTGTTAACTGAGAAATGTTTCCATGATTCATGCAGATACAACACATTTTACACATCCTTTACAAAACACATAAGAAAACTGTCAGCTGTGGTGACAGATACCCAGTAAAACGCAAGATATACGTAAATACACTGGGTAGAAAATAGCACTTCATTCCATGAGATATTTGTCTTCAGTGCTGAGGTAAGTGAAGAGTTTGATTGTACAGTGTAATAATCTTACTATGCTTCCTATGAAAGATGAGGCATTTAGGTAGCCTAGTGTTTGCTCTTCTGTAGAAGACCTGGTTTAGCAGGGTACAGTGTGAAGCCCATTTCTGGCGTCCTCCTGTCATGATATTGCTGAAACCGGTGTGAAACCATACTCAATCACTACTATGAAAAATAAAAGAAGTAAGCATAAATCAGGGGTGGAAATATCCCATTGCCCGACGTCCGAGTCCAGTGTTTTTTTTTCTGTCGGGCAAGCAAATTTGTATATCACACTGTACCGGTGTCCAGTTGACTTTCCAATATTAATAATGTTGTTTATTTAAAAAATCAACAAGAAAACTGCCGGTATAGTGGAAAAATTATCAGGGCAAGTGATTTTACATGTGCCACTGTACCGGAGTGCACTAGCAATTTTAAAGATATTTCCACCCCTGATAAATGCCAATAGGTCACTCATGATTTCAGTCTTCAGAGTTAAAGATATACAGGTTCCCTAGATTAAAAATACAATCTCCCAGAACCATGAATACCAAACACCTTCCCTGCCCCCTTTCATGATCAGTTATGAATGTAGGAATGTTATACAAATGTTCGGTTTGCATAATTCAAAATGCTCCTCATTTTGTGGATATCATTTTACCTTTGTCGATGTTGGTACTTATGGGTTAATATAAGTAACATTGATGTGACTGAACATGTGCCTGCAACATTGCTGTTTGCAGAGTTGCCACATTGGAGTGTTCAAGCCCAGCAGTGTCGAGGGCTGTGAAGAAATGTTATTCAGGCATGAAGCTTGGCAAACATGATCTTGTAATTCATAGAGAAGGGACAGATGAGGAAGAACAAAAAGGTATGTAAAAAAAAAAAAGTATGTTGTGTTACATCTTCGGAAAATGAAACTTAATGAAAGGGTTTGGATTGTGTTTGTACTACTGCTTTTCAGTCTACCCACACACTTCCTTGTCATTGGATTGTTTTTTTCTGGATGATCATTTACCTTGAGTTATATATATGTTTGAGAAATATCAACAGATTTTGACAAAAATAGTTTTCAGCATATATTAGTGTTTTACAATATCATATATTGCTTCAGTTAAATTAGTTTGTTTTAGGTTTTAAACCTTTATAAGAATGTTAGTTTTGTATATCTTGTAGAAAAAAGTAATGCAAAGTCTAGGCCTGCCAATTCCTCTGCTTCAAGTCGGAAAGATTCCCCTTCGGGGGAAAAGAAAGATCTCGATCAGACAATCGTTCTCACAGAAGTAATAGCAGATCAGCCTTAAGTCGTGACCACACTGACAGTAGAGATGACACTAGGAATGCCAACAGATCTGGCAGGAAGATGGAAGCAAAAGTCAGTCTTAGACAGGAACAGGCTAAAAAGATTCGTGAACGTAGTCGCCAGTTCCTAAATCAGAATCGTTCAAACCAGAGTCGTCCAAACCAGATTCGTCCAAACCAGATTCGACCAAACCAGATTCGTCCAAACCAGAATCGTCCAAACCTGCCCATGCAGAAAAGGCCCATTCAAAGGAGACCCATGCCAAGCGGACCAAATCAGGTGACTCCCAATGAAGTAATCCGACGTAGTATTCAGGAAAGGGCCATGCAGAAGATGAAGGAACAGCAGCAGCAGCAGGTACAAAAATGTTATTTAATTACAGGCTGTTGTCTTCTCACATTTATTTAAATGCAACATTCAACAAACTCTTCTGCTGATATTTGTCTGCCTTTTTTAAAGATGACATCATCTTCTGAACCAAAGGTATGAGTGCTTGTAGATCGGGGCTCAGGCTGTCAATATGTGTCGTAACTGCAAGGTGATCAGAATTACTGTTCACACTATTGTTTACCAAATTCTATCAAATGATGTAACACTGTGAAAGCTTTGTGGGTTTAGTAGGGCGCCGGGTTAGCCTAATGGTTAAAGTGTTTGCTCGTCACGCCAAAGATCCGGGTTCGATTCCCCTCATAGGTTACTATGTGTGAAGGCCTTTTCTGGTGTCCCCTGTCGTGATATTGCTGGAATATTTCTAAAAGCGCATAAAACTAAACTAAACTAAAGATGTATATATTTGAACCATAATATATCTGAATATATCATTGTCAACAGGCAGCAATGCAACAGCAACAGCAGATTCAGATGGTGAGGCAACAGCAGATAGCTCAGGTTGTGCAGCAGAACAACATGGCTCTGGCATCATTCCAGGCCCACCAAGCTCAGGCAAAGATGTCAATGATGGAAGGATCAGGGGATGGTCTGCTGGGGCCCATTCCAATGGCTGAAGCACAGAATGTCCCACAGAACGTACCATCACATATTCAGATGATGCCAGAGATGAACGCCAACATATTGACACAGCAGGAAAGAGAGAGAGAGAGAGTGAGAAGTGGTTCTTCATTGAATAGGGCAAACATGGACAACATGGGAAGAAATATGGACGGCATGAGGAGAAACAGTCTGGAACGTATGGGAAGAGACAACTTTGACAATATGGGAAGAAGTGATATGCAGGGCGGCGGGAGAAATAGCATGGAAGGCATGGGAAGAAATAACATGGATATGAGGAGAGGAGGGATGGAAATGGGGAGGAATGATAGGGCTCAATTGGATGATTCATATGGCCAACAGAACGAACCAGTAAGAGGTGATAAATATGGGCAGGAAAATCAGTATAGAAGTGGAATGGACTCTGGTTTTAATCGGCCACAAATGAATCAGAATGAACCGTTGTCAAGTCGCGGAGGCATGAGAAATGAGTCAGGGAGGATAGAAACAAATCGTGCTGCTGGAGCTTGGGCTCAGAGATCTTCACGAGTACCCGAGCCTGCTAACATTTCACCCAGAGTACCAGCCCGATCACCAGCCCGAGGGCAGGATACATACAACCGAGGACAGAGACAGTCTTTCCAGGACCAGAGGCTGGAAGAAACAGAACAGGACTGGGGTCGTGGCTATGATGATGTACAAGCGAACCCTGGAGATGTCTATGCTGTTGATGATAGGTAAACTTAATCATTCGGATCTGTCAGTAGACAATAGGTGTTGTATGCGCCCTGGGGAGTTGAGATTGATACTGCGATGTGCCGTTGAGATTGACATCCAGTGATCGATGGTAGTGTTGGGAATTGGTTTAAATCTCATAATTGATGATTTGTTCATTACAACCGATCAATCATCGAAAATAATTGGTTAGCGTCATTTATTAAATTTGTCTGGTTATGTTTGTTAATGCACAAAAGTAAAGAAAAAACATGTAGTTCTTTCGTTTTTTGCAAATTGCACAAAATGCATTTGCAAATGTCAATTAATATATAAATAAATATATAAATATTACATAATAATAGGGGAAAATGGTTGGTGAGGTAAAATTGTTCGCTCATCACATCAAAGACCTGGATTCAATTCCCCTCATTGGTGCAATGCGTGAAGCCCATTACTGGTGTCCCCTGTCATGATATTGCTGGAATATTGCTAAAAGTAGCACAACACCATACTCACTCGGGTCAAACGATACACAGGTGCTTTGTGAATTTTCATGCAATGATACGACACACAAGCTTTTTTCAGTATAAATACAAATCGATACACTTGCCAAAATTGTACCTGTTTAATGAAACTTGTTCAAAATAGATTGTAATCAGTGCTTTGAATTTACCACTAGATTTACTGCACCCAAGAAACTATGTTAACTAAACTCACTCATCCTCTTGTCTGTGGACAAGTATTTCATCCATTTTTCTGATCACCTTGTCTTTCTTTTCACCAAATGGTGATCTTGCTTGCCTGAAGTATTTCTATAAAATTATGCTGTGTTTTTGAGCTGGTAACTTATTCTGACTCAATCACCACCAGGAGGCCCGTATCTGACCAACGAGGAGAGACAGCATGGAGTGAGAATTATCCCCAGGATATACCGTACGGACGAGGAAATGAAGAGGCATACGGTGCAGGTAATGATTTTATGCATGACACTCGTGTACTGGTCTTATTTTAGTCTCAAGTTTTAACATGCTAACTTTTTGTAGTCATACTATAACAGGAATATATATGTGCGAGATGGTATATTACAGCTTTAGAATTCAGCGTAGAACTCCAGCACTTGCCAGCATATTTTGTGTGTGGTGTATATGGTGTGACCAGAAAATAGGCAGTTTATTTAAGTCCTGAAATTTGTTAGACGAAAAGAAGTCTATTGACTGTAATCAAACTGTCAATTTACTGTTTAAATTTACAAAGCTTAGTTTTCTTCTACTGTGAGCATATTTATTTGACAGCTTCTGATACATATCTACTACTACAGTTACTGATAGATGTAAATTCAGATTGAGGTGAGGTGAGGTGAAATTGGGTTTAATGTCGTGCTTGAGAATATTTCGCTCATATGACAACATGCATGCGTGTGTATGTGTATGTGCGGCTGCTTGTACTAGCCCAGACTGAAGCTGGTTTTTATAGTGCTAGCCCACTGAGATACAATGCTGCAGTGAAGCATGAATACCCCACTCAGACACATTATACTGACTCCAAGCCGACCAGTCCTTGTTGTACCCATTAATTCCGAGCTCCAAGCAGGGACCAACAAGTACCATATTTTAACGTCTTTTGGTATGACGCGGTCGGGGATTGAACCTGCGACCTTACGCTCTCTGGGCGGACGCTCTAACCACTACACCACGGAGGCGGTCAAATTCAGATTGAAATCATGTAGCCCTTGTCTTCATACTGAAATCTAGTAGGCTCTCTTCACACTGAAATCTAGTAGGCTCTGTCTTCACACTGAAATCAGGGTGGTGGCATAGCCTAGTGGTTAAAGCGTTCGCTTGTCACACCAAAGGCCTGAGTTCGATTCCCCACATGGGTACAATGTGTGAAGCCCCACTGTGATGTTGCTGGAATATTGCTAAAAGCGGCGTAAGACCATATTCACTCACTCAAGGCACGAAAAAATTGCCGTTTAGACTTGATTTACGGTACCCCTGTTTCTTAACACTCTTGGGACCCAGTGTAGAATTTGACCTTGGTACTCTATTGCTGATTGAAAGCATTGATAATACTGAGAAACTGTGGAATTATGGGTCAGAATTGGTCTCTGCAGTGGTTGTTAGAGGCAACTGACTGTAAGTGGTAGTCAGTTCTGGTGAACTTTGTTTGAAGTACTGTAATCATTGATTTGTATATTTTGAAACTTTTGTTTAATTCAGGGATGAAGCGTTCTGGTCGTATGATGGGTGAGGTTCCTGTCCGTGAGAAGAGACAAAGAATGGATCAGGTAGTTATGAGGTTTTTTGTATGCTAGGCTTTGTATACAGTAAACACCAGATGTACCAGTGTAGAACTTATACGTTCTTTAAGTGGCTATGAGAACTTTAACGGTCATGAATTACAACATGTCATTGTTAATTGCTTGAATGTGAAATAGGTATGATTGGCCAAGTCATCTAAGGAGTCAGAAGTAGTGCAAGAATGATCACCAAAAGGGCATGAATATAATTTCTGTTTCAAAATCATATGATGTATTCATTAAGCACATCAGTAAATTAGATACCATTAACAAGGTCTACAAACTGGGCATATGACATAAAGTCAAGCTGCATTGTGTGACAGTTGAGCAGCCCTCCAGATTGGATTTTTTTTTTGTGTGGGGGGGAAGGAAAGGATAGGCAAAGCTGCTTTATAAAAAAAGAAATCTAGATTGATGAAATGATGTTCTTGCATCTCTGTCAGTTTGATACTTACCATTTAAATGTGTTATGTTGATATTCCAACCTATGAAGATCCGGGTTAGAATTGATCTTCAGTAACCCATGCTTAACGGGATCGGGTGTTGATCATGCTGTTGATCACTGGATTGTCTGGTCCAGACTCGACAGACCACCGCCATATAGCTGGTATATTGCTGAGGGCGGCGTAAAACTCGGCTCACTCACTCACTTGATATTCCATATATACACATGGAACTGGTTGTGTTGCAGGAGAGAATGTCAGATATAAGAGACGACAGTTATCAGCCTCAAGACATGGCGTGGTAAGAGAAACTAGTTCCTGCTCTTTCGTAATAGATCACAATTCTTACAGTAGATCCCGTTCCCAGCCAAATGGAAATGATATTTATAAAATGTTGAAATCTGACAGTAGCAAATGTACTCAGGGCTCCAGATAATTTTCAACATCAGGAGTACGTACTCCTTATTTTTTAAATATAGGAGTACTGGAAAAACGTTTCGAGTACTGAATTGAATTTAATGGAGTATGTGAGGTTGTGTTTCGTTTCATATGTGCACCACAACATTGCTACTCTTGTGTAAACAGGTAAAAAACAATAAAACAATACTTTTTTCAGATAAATACGTCTGTAAATGATTCTAAGACCATACACCACTGCTGTGGTGCGTATCTGCTACTGTTTCTAAATTATTTCCTACCGTATCGTGCATATTTTTTATCAGTACATACGCGATACGGCCCTTATCTGGAGCCCTGGTACTTGTTAATACCAGCTTTAGGAAGAGTGAAAAACAGATTCATCAATCTGTGTTTGCTTTGCCTTTGTGGCAGGATTTGTAGATTTTATTGACCTGAAATGAACATGGAAAAGGTGTGAAGTTAGCTTGTCTCCAGCATTCTGCCAGCCACACTTATGTTATTAGGCCATTGTTATTGCTAGGCCATTGTTATCGTTACTGTTCGTGTACCTCTGTGGTAATATACCATGTGTGTGTTTGTGGATTCATTTAACATGAAAGACAGATACTGACTTGCTAACTTGACATCTCATTCAGTAAGTGAATGTTGGGCTATGGATCGCCCAGTCTAAGGCACTGCAATTTGTGCACAGTTGCATTCCTTTAGCATGCTAGAAACCTGTGACTTGGAGTTTGAATCCTGTTCACCTCAGTTATGTTTCATGATTTGTCAGTACAGTACTTGTTTTGGTGGGTTCACCATAGTGGTAAAAAGACTATATCATATAACTGGAATATTATTAAAAGCATTGTTAACTCCATCTAGGCTGGAATATACCAGCTATGTCAGGAAGGCCTGTCAGTATTCAGGTCTGGGGTGGAAGGACTGACAGACTCTTTGTTATGAACATTCCAGCCTTTGGCAGTTTTGGGATTCAGTACACAATCAACCAAATCAACACATTGTGACAAGCGACTGTTTAAGAATCTGAAAAATATTATATCTCATAACTTTTGTCATCATCCCTTCCTGTGTACTTTTTATCCCCCTCAACGCGTTTTGCGCGGGGTTATCAAAATGGACTCCGTCCGTCCGTCCGCCCGCCTGTGCACATTTGTCTTTTCCGGAGCAGAACTCTAAAACCGTTCACTATTTCTTCACCAAACTTGGCGCATAGATAGATCTGGTGGTGTACTGGTGCCTTTTGGTAGTTTTGGAATTCTTAATAAAATATTTTTGGCTTTTCCGTCGCAACAAGTTTTGACTTAGCCTGAAATTAGTGGTAGTGCACTTTTCTGGAGCTGAACTCTAAAACCGTTCATTATTTCTTCACCAAACTTGACACATAGATTGGTCTGGTGGTGTACTGGTGCCTTTTGGTAGTTTTGGAATTCTGAATAAAATATTTTTGGCATTTCCATGGCAACAAGTTTGACATAGACTGAAATTGGTGATAGTGCTCCTTTCTGGAGCAGAACTTTAAAAACCTTTCAATACTCTCCTTCCACTTTTCTATATACACACCTAAATATTTGACATAATCATAACTCGTAGACATAATCATGAAGAGTATTTTGCCATTGCGGGGGATATTGATGACTTTGTCTTCTTGTTAATTGTTGCGCCTTGAGCATGCTGCAAGCGTGGAAATGAGTGCATTATAAATATGCACTATTATTTTATTATTAATATTTTTGAAAACTATTTTTCATAGAAAGTTATGTTGTAGGTCAAGAGAAGAGGCAGGAGTATCTGAACAGCGTGGTTACGACAAAAGATTGCAGTAAGTACCAGGTTACCAGTCCTATGACCATAATGTGGCATTTAGCCAAACTCACTGACTCACGGTTAATCACATGGCATTCCCAGTCTGAAGAATCAAAATAGTTCGCTGTAGTGATGTCTTTTTATTGATTGCATAATAATTAGCTGGCTTCAGTTTTCATACAAGGACTCTCATTATGAAACCTGTGATTGCTTCCATTCCTGTTCATAGATGATCATAAAATTAAATGTAAGCACCTCGGCAAGGTAATAACATATGAGGTTGTATTTGCAAGTTTGATAGATCTTTGCAATAAATATACGGTTTGTATAGCTCAGGTAATCTGTATGTATACTTGTATAGTGCAGGGTTATTTTGGGTCTTTAGCAGCCCATTCTTGTCATAAGAGGCAACAAACAGAATTGGCAGATCAGGCTCGCTGATTTAGTGAACACGAGATCATATCTGAAATGTGTAGATCAATGGATTGTCTGTTTCAAAATCGATTATTTAAAGACCTCAACCACATACGTGGAATATTGCTCAGTGTGAAGCGTTAAGCATTGAACAACTTCCAATAACTTGGTCGATCTTATGGTCCAGCATGATATGCAACATTTCACATCATACCTCATGTTGAAGTATGATTAGTGTAATATACTCACTTCATCTAATTGAGGGGCGGTGGGGTAGCCTAGTGGTTAAAGCGTTGGCTCGTCACGCCGAAGACCCGGGTTCGAATCCCCACATGGGCACATTGTGTGAAGCCCATTTCTGGTGTCCCCCGCTGTGATATTGCTGTAATATTGCTAAATGAGGCGTAAAACCATACTCACTCACTTGTCTAATTGAACTAGGTTTAATGTAGGGAAATCAATGGATTTTTCAGGAATCGGAACTGGGGCTCTGGGGTGAATGAGCAAGTTGACAATGGTGCTTCAGATCCACACGGCTTCAAGGTTCATGAGTATGGTCACCAGTCACAGGGGAGCGACATGTATGATCAGAACGTAACAGACAGGTTAGTATATTTAAAGAGACATGAATAAATCATCACATTCATGTTTTGATGTTTGCACATATTACATGGCAATCCTCACTTGTTGATATGGGGCGGTGGGGTAGCCTAGTGGTTAAGGCTTTCATCGCCACGCCGAAGACTCGGGTTCGATTCCCCACATGGGTACAATGTGTGAAGCCCATTTCTGGTGTCCCCCGCCGTGATATTTCTGGAATATTGCTAAAAGCGGCGTAAAACTAAACTCATTCACTCACTCACTTGTTGATATAAGCACCTAGAATTTGAATATGCTTTGGCAATTCTTTAAAATACGATATAAGGCCTTGAAAGGCATTGTCAGTCATGGTTAAGTCTGTTAAACATATTAGGCAATAAATACAGTATGACCAGAAATTATTGAGAATTTTAGGAATATGTTTAATTGGATTTCTAGTATAAACCACCTTAACCAGCTATCAAGTGCTTGGTTTCATTCAAGAGAGACAACGCCGTTAATCCTTTTTCGTTAGTTTGTGAAGAGTTATCCCCCTTTGGTTACTTGCTAACAGACGACATTTTTGTGATCCTCAGTAAGGATGATGTAGAGAAGAGGAAGTTGATTTTAGAGTATTATAACAAGGACATCAGATCAGCTAAAGTGATTTCAAGTAGAACAGGCATCCCTTTGTCCACTGTTTATTGTGTTTGAAAAATATTGCAAATGGATATGGCATTGAGCACCAGGGAGGCTCAGGTAGGCGCAGAAAATTGACTGTTGGTGACAGGAGGCGGCTTGGTATTCTTGTTTCTAAAAACAAACGAAGGAGTTTAGAAAACTGAAGGCTGGATATGATTGATAGAGGAACTGTGGCTGTCTGTAAGGAGACAATTAGAACTGAGCTGCATGCAATGGGTTGGCAGAAAAGTCGAGGAATTTCATCACCGATCATGAAACCTAAACAAAAGGAGCGAAGGTTGAACTGGTGCTTACAGCATAGAACTTTTAACTAAGACAATGTGATTTTCTCAGATGAAAGTTCTGTGTGGCTGTTTCCTAATACACTGAAATTCAGGACCAAACAAACTGAAAAACATTTGTATCAGCGCCCAAAGTACAGTCCGAAATTTAATGTGTGGGGTGGCATATCTGTGTTAGGGGCAATGCCCCTGTGTGTATTTGAACAGTGAGCGGTACACAGATATTCTCGAGGGACATTTACTTCCATCTGCTCACGTGTTCTATGGAAAGTTTTGGATTTTCCAGCAGGACAACGACCAAAAACATCGATAAAGCATTCACAGGCCTGGTTTCGGACCAAAAATATGACATTATTAGATTAGCCAAGCTATAGCCCTGACCTAAATCCAATAGAAAATGTTTGGGACTGATGAAGGAAAGTGTCAATAAGAAAAATCTGACAAATATTGCTGAAATGAAAGAAGAGGTGTTCCGATATTGGGACAGCATGGACAACGACTTTCTAACTTCTTTGATCAGTAGTATGCCCCGCCGCATTGAAGCCTGCATTGCTGCCCATAGTGACTTGACAAAATACTAACTGTTCACCTTGTGGTACAATGTGTGAAGCCCATTTTTGGTGTCCCCAGCTGTGATATTGCTGGAATATTGCTAAAAGCGGCGTTAAACCATACTCACTCACTCACTCACTCTCTTTGCAGTAGCTGGAACAACACGCCTGGTATGATGCAAAACACTGCTGCAGGGACTGGTATCATGAAAAAACAGCGTCAACAGAGCTACAATCAGAGGCCTCAAACCCAGCAACGCCCACAGAATCAGCAGCGTCTACAGAATCAACAGCGCCCACAGAATCAACGCCTACAGAATCAACGTCTACAGAATCAACAACGCTCACAGAATCAGCAACGCCTACAGAGTCAACAACGCCCGCAGAATCAGCAGCGCCAACAGAACCAGCAACGCCAACAGAACCAGCAGCAGCGAGGTCAAGGTCAGCAGCAGCAGCGAGGTCAAGGTCAGCAGCAGCGAGGTCAAGGTCAGCAGGACGTGATGCAGCAGCAGATGATGCAGCAACAGATGATGCAGGCAACAGGGAGGTTCCAACCCAAGATGGTTCTCTTGCCCACAAGGCTTTTGCCGGGAATGAAAAGGTTTGTAGGTTTCAGTTAATACTTCAATCTCTTGTGCCTATGGAATAATTTCCATCCCAGGCACTATCAGACAGTAATGTTATAAATGAATAGATATTGTGAATAAATATGCTGTAATGGCAGCTTATCACAGGGACTATTTTCGCCTGCTCAGGAAACCAGTTTAGGAAATTTATGTTGTAATCATCACTTTTGTAATATAACACATCTCCACATTTAAAGCTTAGATGCATTGTAGACTACCTTTGGACATGGTGACATGAAATGAAGTTAATCTTGCTAAAATGTTTTCATTGTTAATTCTTTTGATACATGCGCTGATTATTATGCCAGTCAGACTTACATCCTCAAGTTCATTTATGCCATTTTTCATTGTTTCAGGAATTAAAGTATTCAGTTGACCAGATGACTCTTCGTAATAAGGAATATGGATAGTGCTAACAAGGACAAAATCTCCCTGTATGTGATGTGTAATTCTACTTCCATCAAGCCACCATTTGCACATTAAAATACAGGCATTTTCTACGGACATCTACGGACCCTATGTTGTTTTCATGGCTCAACCGCACACTGTTCACTTGATGCTTGTGCTTCTAAGTGTCTTTTGCATTTTTGACACCCTGGTGCGGTTGTATGGTAAATTCCTGTGGGAATCCTGTTTTTATGCTCTCTTACTTTTGAAGCTCTGTGTTCATGCATCATGATGACCTATGCCCATATCTTCTGTTAGACAATGTAAGGAAGGAAATTAATAGTGTGTCAGAGGTGTTTAGGTGAACTTCATATTTGAGACTCAACTTATACAGCTTGAGCTAGTGGAGAAAGCAGTGTTTCAACCTTGTACCAAATGGATCACTGTTTACATATGTTGAACTGTAAGGAACAACACTATCCTTTTTGACATGAAGACTAATTAATTTCTTACATGTATCAGTTGGAGATAGTTTGGAATATGTTGTTGCTTGTTTGATGTTACATGTGTTAACTGTGTTAAATCCTAAAGACTTGCCTCTGAACATGAACATTGTTGTTATTGATTTTGCTGACATGAACTATTTTAGATGATTTTAAGATATAGTATATGACAGAACTTCACGATTATATATTATACAGAGTTGTGTTTTCCTTATAAATGTACTCGATAAAAGCACGTGTGTTGTACTTAAAATCTCACTAAATGTACGTTTGTGGAAGATATTTTTTACAAAGAGCACAAGGTGCTTGAAGGGACTACCTGTTGTACGTATCATTCATCGGGGTCATGACAATCATTGATAAGAAAATGCTTCAAGTATTTCTGATTTCATTTCATGCTTCATTGACATCATCCAGGGTTGAACCATGTCTGGAAGGTATCCATTAATTACTATTTGTTTTTTCCATTCCACTCAAATGCTGTAATCATATTCACGTATCGGTCAAAATAAAGTTCCTGCAAATATTATTTGTGCTTTGTGCTTCCTATGGGATTGGGGATCAGTGCAATGGGCCCTAAAAACTGGCAACAAGGTATATATTGTCACCTATGCTATTTATAGTGAATGAGTGAGTTTAGTTTTACGTCACACTCAGCAATATTCCAGCTGTATGGCGGTGGTCTGTAATTAATCAAATCTGGACCAGACAATCCAGTGATCAACAGCATGAGCATCGATCTACACAAGTGGGATACGATGACATGATGACATGACAACTGTGCCAACCAAATGAGGGAGTCCGACCACCCAGTGTCCTGTCAGTGACAATATGTACCTTTGTGCCAGGTTTTTGTGTTACAAGCTGCTATGATTAGTGCCTCTATTGTGTAGGGGTTATTGCTTTGGCTCTCACACTCAGTTGTCTCACATTGGTGCATTGAGGTGTTAGTCGAGATACAGTACAACCAGAAATTATTGAGAATTTAAAGATTGTAATTTTTTTCACTCATTACCCACGTATTCAATGTGAATATTAGAAGAAAATAACTCCAGATTCAAAGACAGGTGAATCTTTGAAGTATAACAGTTAGTATTTTGTCAAGTCACTATGGGCAGCAATGCAGGCTTCAATGCGGCGGGGCATACTACTGATCAAAGAAGTTAGAAAGTCGTGGTCCATGCTGTCCCAATATCGGACCACCTCTTCTTTCATTTCAGCAATATTTGTCAGATTTTTCTTATTGACACTTGCCTTCATAAGTCCCCAAACATTTTCTATTGGATTTAGGTCAGGGCTATAGCTTGGCCAATCTAATAATGTCATATATTGGGTCCGAAACCAGGCCTGTGAATGCTTTGAACGATGTTTTGGGTCGTCCTGCTGGAAAATCTAAACATTTCCATAGAACACGTGAGCAGATGGAAGTAAATGTCCCTCGAGAATATCTGTGTACCGCTCACTGTTCATATTCCCGTCAAATACACAGATATGCCACCCCAAACGTTAAATTTCGGACTGTACTTTGGGCGCTGATACAAAGGTTTTTCAGTTTGTTTGGTCCTGAATTTCAGTGTATTAGGAAACAGCCACACACAACTTTCATCTGAGAAAATCACTTTGTCCCAGTTAAAAGTTCTATGCTGTAAGCGCCAGTTCAACCTTCACTCCTTTTGTTTAGGTTTCATGATCGGTGATGAAATTCCTCGACTTTTCTGCCAACCTATCGCATGCAGCTCAGTTCTAATTGTCTCCTTACAGACAGCCACAGTTCCTCTATCAATCATATCCAGCCTTAGGTTTTCTAAACCCCTTCGTTTGTTTTTAGAAACAAAAAATATCCAGCCGCCTCCTGTCACCGACAGTCAATTTTCTGGGCCTACCTGTGCCTCCCTGGTGCTCAATGCCATATCCATTTGCAATATTTTTCAAAACAGGATAAACAGTAGACAAAGGGATGCCTGTTCTACTTGAAATCACTTTAGCTGATCTGATGTCCTTGTTATAATACTCTAAAATCAACTTTCCCTTCTCTATATCACCCATACTGAGGATCACTGAAAATGTCGTCTGTTAGCAAGTAAACAAAGGGGGATAACTCTTTACAAACTAATGAAAAAAAGATTAACGGAGTTGTCTCTCTTGAATGAAACCAAGCACTTGATAGCTGGTCAAGGTTGTTTATACTAGAAATCCAATTAAACATATTCCTAAAATTCTCAATAATTTCTGGTCATACTATATTAGAAAACCCTTTTATCTGATCTAATAACTAGTATGAAGTACTGTTGCTTGTGTCTCTCAGCAGGGATAACGCTGTCAACTAACTCTATATATGACCAAAGAACGATTCAGCCAAGAATTTTGAATTGGTTTGCAATTTCCTTTTTTTTGGTGGGCGGTATGGTAGGTAAGTGCCCCGTTACACCAAAGACTAGGTTCGATTCCCCACATGAGTACATTGTGCGAAGCCCATTTCTGGCGCCCCCGTCCTAATGAAATACAGTGAAACCTGCCAACAACGGCACCTGTCTAATCCGGCATAAAATTTTAGTCCCGCCATTTTACAACGATATTATAATCATAAAAACATTGTCTAATCCGGCACAACTTTCCAGTAACAACAAGCTATTTTAACTGTTATTAACACTGTCTAAACCGGCATGGGTATGGGCAGTCCAATCAAGGACCCATAATACAATACACTAATTAATCATCTTGGTACGCTAGATAATCAGGAAGTACTGCGCGGTGTCAAATGCTCGATGATTACCACGTTTATGCTTTATAAACACTGGGGGATTGCATTAACTTTTTTCAAGTGAGTGACGTGTCAGAGAGTAAATTAATAGGCATCAAAAAGAACTTGCAGTTAAATATCAAATTGGCAGGCAAACTATTTCGGGCATTTCGAAAAAGTCTGATGTTTATCGATCCAAATTTGAAGAAAACCATCAATCACAGACAAAACGAGTGTAAATGGCAGCCATGTTGGAAAATGATCGTCACTGTCTAGTCCGGCACCCTGTCTAAACCGGCATGAGTACTTGTTTAAGGCTGTTGTCAACTGCGGCACTTGCAATCTGAACGGGAGGATCACTAGCTCAAACTTAGCATCCAAGATAGGACCAAAGATGGTCGATGGGGTTCATATCGGGGCTTCCTGTGGGCCATGGTAATGTTTCGATGGCGTTCTGCAAATGGGTGGTGACGGTTCGAGAACGATGAAGTCAAGCATTGTCATCCATGGATATTGGACGACTGGCAAGGGAATGGGTATCGACATGTGGCACGGTATCCTCCTGTTGATAACGTTGACCATTGTCCCAGGTACTGTAATGAGATCCAACTTGTAGCCATACGAAACGCCGTCACTGAAGCCCCATTCTGACCCAGGTACTGTAATGAGATCCAACTTGTAGCCATACGAAACGCCGTCACTGAAGCCCCATTCTGACCCAGGTACTGTAATGAGATCCAACTTGTAGACTGTAATGAGATCCAACTTGTAGCCATACGAAACGCCGTCACTGAAGCCCCATTCTGGCCCAGGTACTGTAATGAGATCCAACTTGTAGTCATACGAAACGCAACTCCACACCGTCACTGAAGTCCCATTCACATGCACACCTCACCTTTTTGAATGATTCCAGAATTAGAACAAACTGTGGCGTCATGAACTCTCCCAGGCCATCCAATGTTAATATCTCTGAAGATGTATTTGTGATCACAGACGGTCTGGAGAATGAGGGAGTACCAGCCCTTACGGCTGAGACAATGCCCATGAGCTTCCTGAGGTGCAATGATAGGAATGTGACATCCATCTGTGCTCCTGCACAATTTGGAAAAGGCAATCTGCGCTCAAATCCTATTTCAGATCTTCATTTAGGGGAAAAGTTACATATTCCGGAACCAAAACATCACATATGGTCTGACAAACTTCATGAAGGCATTTACAAACAGTGGACTTCCCAACACCAAACAAATTTCCCACAGTTCTATATTCTGAAGTTGAAGCCAAAGGTTGGCGAACAGCTCGGTCACTAGAAGAACTCCTTTGTTCATTCTAAAATTATCTTACCCGTCTTTGTCGTCATTAGATTATTCATGTCGTTCCACCAAACAGACTGTCTTTCTTTCTTCCAGAGAGGTCTACATGTATCTTGTGACAGACCAATTGCAAGAGCAGTACATATCTGATACTGTTTGTCTTTTAAGCACCAGCGATAAGAGAACATCTTTCTCTGTTGAAGTTCAGAGAAATAAATGAGACAATTTAATACATTTATTAGTTACACTTTCAAGTTTACTTACTCTACATACATTCAATGTGAAAGCAAAGTAAATTTACTATTACACACCTATGTATATTTACACATGTGCAAATTTACTTACATGAGTAAATTTTGTGCATGCGAATAGGGCTAGAAATCTGAGATGCCACCATAGGCTGAACTGCCTGGATCTAGTTATATAGTTCGTTACGACGTCGCCATATGTGACAAGGGCCGTCGGTAATCAGAAACTCATCTACCTGCTCCTGAAACCGGCCTCTGACAATGTAAATGGAACACTTTTAGAGTTTGCCCTACTGTCCATTATGCTCTTCAGTTGCAACATATCTATATTTACCTGTACAAAGGCATGCAGAGTTTTCTCCTGCAGCTGTGTCAAAAGAATGCATAAGATTGTGTGTTTGACTTCTGCTACGTGATTATGTTGCTATATGTTTGTTGTATGTTGCTATATGTTTGTTGTATGTTGCTATATGTTTGTTGTATGTTGCTATATGTTTGTTACAACAAAACCTTATGTGACTGAAACTGTTGAAAATGGGGCCGGTGGGGTAACCCAGTGGTTAAAGCGTCCGCTCGTCACGCCGAAGACCCGGGTTCGATTCCCAACATGGGTACAATGTGTGAAGCCCATTTCTGGTGTCCCCCGCCGTGATGTTGCTGGAATATTGCTAAAAGCGGCGCAACACCTTACTCACTGTTAAAAGTGGTTTTAAACTTGACAACTAATTATGTCCCGGTTACCTCTTTAGTTACAGAATCTGCTGATCAGTTGAATTTCAGGTCTGATACTTTGATCCTTGGGTTGTTTGCACCATAAACTAAAATAGTAGTTTCACCGTGTATCTTTGGTATCTGGCTTCCTTGAGACAGTAAACACCAGTTTAGACCAGTGTTACTTTGGGCTCTCCTGACACAATGGGTTCAACTGAAAACCACTTCACAGCTGCCTCAAATAGCTAAGTCCTGATTCAGAATAGGAAAGTGATAAAAACAGGTTTATAATAAAATGTTAGGTTTTCCTGTCGCCCACATGAGGCAGGTGGGTAGCCTAGTGGTTAAAGCGTTCGCTCGTCACGCCAAAGACCCGGGTTCGATTTTCCAACAATTTTTTCAAGCAAGTCGGATCCCTATGCTGAAGTCTAATTCAGATGTGGATCAGCGTGACATATTCAATAGATTTTCATCCCTGCATGAAGGGTGGGGTAGCCTATTGGTTAAAGCGTTCGCTCGTCATGCCGAAGACCCGGGTTCGATTCCCACATGGGTACAATGTGTGAAGCCCATTTCTGGTGTCCCCGCCGTGATATTGCTGGAATATTGCTAAAAGCTGCTAGCACTAAACTGTAGCAAACTCACTCATTGTGTCTTTTGTCCCTATTATATTGGACATGACTGCATGGTGATCTCTTCCAATACTATCAACCTCTGATATGTCATGGTCATGACATAATGCAACTGATAATTGTTCATTTCATTACTTAATAGAAATCAAATCCGAGCTAAGCGTTCAAGGTGATTTATTAGTCATGGATTGAGATGACACCCTCGACGCGTAATTGTGTCATGTGCAGTTTACATGTTCGGTGAGCAAAAAACGCAGCGACTGTCCTCAAAATGTCATCTTCATACCTGGTTCCCGTGGAACGTGTGGAAAGCTAAGAGTTGCCTACTCGTCTCCTACACCCAGACCCTTGAGCACAAGTTTAATAATAGTCCTACTCAGCTCTCGAATGATTTTGGCGAGGCTAGATTGACTCAGTTCTAGGCAGAAATAAAGATTGTTCCGGGCTCATTTGGATTTGTTTTGTTGATGAATGTATTCTTCATTTTTGTAAATGTAAAGATACTTATATTTGGTAACAGTTCACTTGCAATCTGAACGGGAGGATCTTTTTTCTCAAACTTAGCATCCAAGATAGTCCCAAAGATGTTCGATGGGGATCATATCGGGGCTTCCTGCGGGCCACGGTAAAAAATAGGTTTCGATGGCATTGTTCTGCAAATGGGGGATGACGGTTCGAGAACGATGAGATCAAGCATTGTCATCCATGGATATATATTTATTTTTTGTAAATAGGATACCTGTATTTCTGGTACCAAATGTCAGTCAAAGCGTCGCCTTGGAGTTTGTGACACCGTCGTGTGGTTGCACACTCTTGAGAAAGGAGGGGTGCACACTTCATTTTCACGACAGTTTCATTGGTCATTTAATAAACTTTCAGGACAAAAGGGGGCTGCGCACCCTTCACCCCACCTCTGGGTCCGCCTATGAGGACGCCTCTCTCGAACATCATAGACTGTAATTGAAACTGGTGGCCACATTGTTTATGTATACAGGACCATCGCGTGTGTGTGAAACGTTAGCATCAAGTAGCTTGCGCAAATTACAACCCTGGAAACACAAAGTTAGCTTTAAATTTGACCAGTGAATTGGGTTTTACGACGCTTTTAGCAATATTCCAGCAATATCACGGCGGGGGGACACCAGGAATGGGCTTCACACATTGTACCCATGTGGGGAATCAAACCCAGGCCACCGGCGTGACTATCTAACGATTTAACCACTGTGCTACAACACCACCCCACACAATCCTTGTGTTACAATATCAGGTAGGTAGCTTGCGCAAACATTACAACCCCCGTGAGTGGGCCGGGTTTTACGCCGCTTATAGCAATATTTCAGCAAAATATCACGGCGGGGGACACCAGATATCGGCTTCACACATTATACCCATGATGTGGGGAATCGAACCCAGGCCTTCGGCGTGACGAGCTAACGCTTTAACCACTGGGCTACCCCACCTCCCCTTACAACCAGAGCGCTACAATATCAACACAATTGCAATCTACTGATTCTCGGCAGCCTACAGGCTTGGTTTGCGTGGCTAATAGCTTTAATTGTCCTAAAATACTCAGTGAACCCGAACTATCACGTTCACTACGTATCAATAAAGAGTTGGTGTGATGGTTAAGGCAGTACAAGCATCGTTGAAGCTGTTTGACTGCAATATGTAATTATCGCGTCTGGACCAGACAGTTCAGCGAGACATCAGGAATGTCGAATTACGCAACTTGTATATGATAACATGCTATCAACCAAGTCACTGATCATGACCCAGTGGTATCTTATCACAAGTCTGGGTTAGTGGGCATCTATATTGTTACCCAGAATCTCCACTGACTTCACGCTGTTAGGGTGTATATATGTGCAAGGCAAGATATTTTTTTTTTATAATTGATAATTTTTATTTCCTGCTTCACCTGTTACAGAAAAGGCCGTAGAGCCAGGGAACTCTAAGGTCCTTTGCAAGAAGGTTAATTGATCACAAGAAAAACAGGATTTTTTTCTAACAAAGCACAAAACAACAACACCAGACACCACAACACATTCACTCACCAATCACACTTACAAGCTTCAAATATTTACATTAAGTTTAAGTTCAAGTCCATTCAGCCTATATTTTTCATTAGGGAACAAGAAGAAAGAATTCAGAAAATCATTTAAAATTTGCAAAATCATGATATAACATCCACTTTTTATAAAACTTATCTTGTTCACTTTTACTGAAGGATATATTCTTTTCAATAAAATACCTATCTTGTAAATAATGTCTAAAATGTTTAAAACTAAGAGTAGTTTTTAATACCTTACATTTATATATGAAGAATTTAGCTAACAACAATATTAAATCAAACACATCATCAGTATATACATTTGTTCTCATTCCAAACACAGTAAGTTGCAGGTCCAATTTCATGTTGTGAACATGTTGACATTTATCATTCAATAATTCTAGAAAACATTTCCAAAAAGCTTGCACATGTTCACAATACCAAAACAAGTGGGGGATTGTTTCAACCTCACATTGACACAAGGTACATAAGTTGCTTTCAGCTAATTTGATCTTAAATAGAAATGAATTAGTTGATAGAATGTCATGTATAATCCTGAACTGAAACCATTGAAGTTTAGTAACCCTTGTAGTCTTTAAAGGTTATACAAATATTTTTTCCCATTCAAGTTCAGCAAGCATACAATCCTCCCACTCATTCATGAATTTTAAGTTTACATCAGATGCAGTCAAAACATAGTAATAACACTTAATTTTCGATTAACTGTATTACCATCTAACTGCTCAAAAGAAGTAGGTTTCATTATCTTTAACTTAGTTTGATACCTTTTAATAGCCATGGTAAGACCATTATAATGGAGAAAATTTATGTCAAGTTCAAAAGTGTTCTGAAATTCCTCGAGAGTACGATATGTTCCGTCTAAATTGATAAAATCACGAATCTGACTAACTCCTCTTTCAAACCAAGCAGAACAAAAAAACCCACTTCTTTACCAATTTGTAAGTGCTTGTTATAATAGATTGGTTCTGTGATGAATTCATCAAATGAGCATGGTTGATTCTTATGAGCAAACTTGTCAAAATCAGAAATACAATCAAGCCAAAATTCATTCTTAATATCTTTGGAGAGTGTACCTGGAAAGAATGACTAAATACAGCTAAATTTTCCATTTTGGGGGAGGAAGCATAGCACAAACATTTCCATTTGGATACATAGCCAATATCCAACAACTTTCTCATCCAAGACAACTTTAAAGAACTAACATAAGAAAAAGCTTCAACCATACCAAGTCCATCAACCATACCAAGTCCACCCTCTTTAACAGGCTTACAAGCACCCACTCTCTTGATCTTATCAGGTTTACCACTCCAGTGAAATTTAAATAGTACTTTATTTAATCCATGCAGGATGTTTCCTAGGGGGTTTTGGGAGGGTAAGAAAGAGATAATTCAATTTTGAAATCAGTAATGATTTTATAATAGCAATTCTACCAAGTGGTGTAATTATTAATTTTCATCCACCTGTTGATAATTAACTGAATCTCAGATAATTTATTTTCAAAATTCTTTCGATCCATAACATTTAAATCTGTTGAAAATATTACACCCCGGAGCTTAAAATATTCTGGATTCCATTGTATGTTCAAACAAGGTAAGTATCTGATTGAACTGTTCTTTCTGTGCAAGGCAAGATATACTCATGGAAACAAATAAAGGAACATACGAAAGTGCAAGGTTTCCTATACTCTTTTCCGGGTTTCTTGTCATGCTTTATATTGCACTGTGGGTGAAAATCTGGAAATAAATAAAGGAACACTTCTGCTTTCATGTTTTCCCTTATACGTTTCCATGAGTATTGATATCTTTGAACTGTTAAAATCAATTTAAGAACATATCCTAATCTCTGGAGGGTACAAGTGGCCATATTTTCTAATCCGTCACAATGGGAACATTCATAAATTAATACAAGTCCATCACTTCAAATTCCAAATGTATGTCAGATACAACAGAAGATTTATTATGTATAGGACTGTACCAATTTAGTATGAGAATGTGACAAGATGGCGTTTGGTAGTGACATTTAATTTCCGAAACAGAGTAACAGACACAATTCAATAAATAACATAGGAAACCCATGAGTATTAAAATTAAAATTTCTTCATTTCAGCTGAAAACGCTGAGTGCAGTTGCCATTTAAAGCTGTAATTAGAATTTGGGTGACTTACTTTGCTTTGGAGATCGGAGATCAGGCTCGCTGACTTGGTCGATGCATGTCATGGAATCCCACTTGCGAAGCTCAATGCTCATGATGTCAGTCACTAGATTATGTCATCCAGACGCGATTGTTTACATTCCGCTGTTATATATATAACTGGAAACTTGCTGAAACTTGTTAAGCAACAAATAAATAAATCCGTTTGGGATGCGGTTATCTTTGGTTTAAGAAGCTTAGTTCTATCCTCTAAATAGTTTGTTTTCGTGATTCAAGTTCCATATACTTTTTGTTTTGGGTGGACAGTTTATTTAATGATTTTTAATTCAATTGATACGACAAGATAACCCATTATCATTGATCACGCTAACCGCACGTTGTCCTTTAGACCGTCCGTCAGCAGAACAGGAAATCTGGTCTGACCCGAAAAGGAAATGACCCAATGATTATAGACCTATTTTTACACCAATCTGTTTGTCGGGTGGCAATGAAAAGGACACTGAATACTGTAGCAAAATACAATACATGCAGTCACTCGTGACATTTCGCAACTGCACGGGCCTGTCTGCCGCAACGAGTGCAGGCTGCATGTTCTAGAACAGATGTGATTATCTGAAGGACAATAGGTTGACAAGTTGACCACACCCACCGCCATCTGTAACAATTACGGAAGTAAGACATATGTATTTGGACTCGAGTATCCGTAGCTTGACAGAGGTAGGAACGTATTTTCTAGACGAGAGAGAGAGAGAGAGAGAGAGAGAGAGAGAGAGAGAGAGAGAGAGAGAGAGAGAGAGAGAGAGAGAGAGAGAGAGAGAGAGAGAGAGAGAGAGAGAGAGAGAGAGAGAGAGAGAGAGAGAGAGAGAGAGAGAGAGAGAGAGAGAGAGAGAGAGAGAGAGTATTTATTTTGTCTGATCGCTGCATGATTAGTGGTGATAAGCACAGTATAATAAACGCTCCGCATTACGTTGCAATGGTATTTTTAAACCTTACCTGACGGACACACTGTATTCCAGGTGAACTACAGTAAGTATTAGATTTGTTTTGTCGAGGCCAAAAGAGAGAGAAATAGCCGTTGTTGTACACCAAGCCAAGAACTTGTGACAATTACTGTTTAGTACACAGAACATTTATTTTCAGGTAATATTTTCATACCATTTAACTTTGTATCGATACCGTCGGTGGTGAATTATGTACATTTCCCACTACACACGAAATCCTAGTCTATCTCAAAGTCCCTGAACCATTATTTTTCGTTCTATCCAGCTTTTGCTATAAGCCCTAAATGAAGCAAGTCTAGATCTTCCTCAGGTTCGGAATCTCCCAACTCACGGGGGGCTACTTTTTAATTTGAAAGGTGATACACTCCATTACATGATCCTTCAGCCACACAACACATACATGTCGGTATATTGTCACTGTTTTCACACTAGTACACGTTCTACTCTGCACGTAAGGCATTTCTGCATGAGCTTCTTTTCTATATATAGCAACGTACACAATCCGCTTTTTGATCAATACCAGCTTCTGCTCATATACCTGTAAACTGTACTGCGTATTTAATACACACATGCACGCACAAACACACACACAAGCACAAACACATTAATTAGATTATAAAATGCAAAGACGATCGGTGCAGGCAAGAAAAGCTAGTTGAAGTAAGGCTTTGTTGATATTTACCTTCTGTCTGTGTCTTGGACTTTAGTCAGTTGGAAATGTCGAGCATATATATACCATATGTCGCATGCTGGGAAAATTGAACAAGGCCATACGAAACACCCGCACGCGCTTGCACGGTCACACACGCACGTGCGTCACTCTATAAATTTCTAAGATGCTTAAAGATCAAAGGCACCGGCAGTACTTTAAAAATATCAGACGATAAAGTACACATTTTGTCTTACGTCACACTGTAATGACGTCACTACGCCACGTTAGTCCACCCTGTTGGAATCAAACGTACCGTAACCGACGTCACGATGCATGTCAGTTGTCATTTCTTAGTACAGTCTCTTATAGTACAACTGGCTCCCCGTTTCTTGGTTTGCAGTTGCCTCTCTATGCCGACGTTCTTCGTGATTCAACTGTACTGTAGTTCAGGGCAAAACTGTTATTACACTGTGGGATTTAGAGCGAACTGTACATCTATTTCTAAGCAACGAGTCGTTAGAATATCGACACTATATTTCGGTTTCATGGTTAAACCCCTCACTTCATGGGACAGCAGTTGAGCGCTTGAATCATACTGAGTAAATAACCGGTTTGTCCAAGATGGGACGGACTAGTCTCACCAAACAAATGAAAACCAGAAAACGCGCACAGTGCATTCAAAACATGCTTGCTATTGTGTTCAGCGCGATGTGGCGTGGTTGCCGTGGTGATGTTGCGATGAGCACCAGACCTTACAGCGCATGCAATTACAATAGCTGAATCCCCACATCAAAGGGCAATATGGTGCAGTTGCCTTGTTTGTTTCTGGACGTTGAACAAGAACGCTCAATAACCCGGATGTGGTTGTTGTTAACGCCACACTCCGCAGTATTACAGATACAAGATGGCGGACAGTAAATACTCGAGCTTGGACCAAACAAATTAGTGATTGACATCATGAGCATCTATCCATGTCGGGGTTCCAATGTCACGCAAGGTCACCTAACCTGACCACCCAATCCACCTCTATGAGCAACCATACAGACTTGACAAGTTGTATGAAGAGGAACACTGATTATGGATGGACATATTCTTTGTTGCAACAAATGCGACGTGTCGGTGTATATATTGTAATAAAGAAGTTATCTATCCACAAAAAGTGTTCCTTTTCATCATGCCAGCTTCTACATGCGACTTAAAGAAGAGCTGCACTAACTGAATTATACATCTTACCACGGGCCGTTGAGAGAGAGAGAGAGAGAGAGAGAGAGAGAGAGAGAGAGAGAGAGAGAGAGAGAGAGAGAGAGAGAGAGAGAGAGAGAGGAGCGAGAGAGAGGGAGGAGAGAGAGAGGGAGGGAGAGAGAGAGGGAGGGAGAGAGAGAGAGAGAGACAGAGAGAGAGAGGGAGAGAGAGAGACAGACAGACTTGTTGTACACCAAGCCAAGAACTTGTGACAATCACTGTTTAGTACACAGAACATGTATTTTCAGGTAATATTTTCATACCATTTAACTTTGTATCGATACCGTCGGTGGTGAATTATGTACATTTCCCTACTACATCTCTGCATTTTTGTCACAGTATAATAAACACTCCGCATTACGATCACTGACATGATTAGTTGTGATAAGCACAGTATTGTGACAATTATAAACAGAACATTTATTTTCGCATTTTAACTTTGTATCGATAATGGTATTTGTAAACCTTTTGCCTGATCGGACATTAGTTGTGATAAGCACAGTTATAAACCAGGGTGAACGTAAACCTTAAACCTACCTGACGTATTAGTATTTGTGTTTTGTCGAGGCCAAAAAAGAGAGGGAAATAGCCGTTGTTGTACACCAAGCCAAGAACTTGTGACAATCACTGTTTAGTACATAGAACATTTATTTTCAGGTAATATTTTCATACCATTTAACTTTGTATCGATACCGTCGATGAGAGATGAACATTATTTGTAAGCTATATTTATGGTCAGGATCTTTATTTTTGTCTGATCGCTGATTATGTGTGATATTCACAGTATAGTAAACACTCCGCATTACGTTGCAATGGTATTTTAAACCTTACCTGACGGACACACTGTATACCAGGTGAACTTCAGTAAGTATTAGAATTGTGTTTTGTCGAGGCCCCCCCCAAAAAAGGAAATCGTTTTTTAACGATGACTTCACAATGTTCTGCGAAATCACATATGTGATCACATAAGTGATGCCTTCTTAACTACGAAACCGAAGTATGGCTGGTTTGGCGCTAAAAATACCCAACACGCAACAGTCTCAGCACGCTAAGATTGTTTCTTTGTGTTTGTTGTTTAGAGCCACTCTCAGCTATATCATTATGTCGGCCTGTATATTTGTAAATTATCGAATCTGGACCCAACAAACCAGTGACTCACATAATAAACAACATCCAATGCCATCGGCGTTCGATGACACGGGAGTGTACCAAACCACTGTGCAGGTGAGCCTATAATTGACAACTCAATCGATTATATTTAAGTCTTTTTATTACGACCAGCACAGGTGCTTTAGATCGACATCTTCGATGCTCGATTATTCAGTGTATCAGATCTTCATTTTCATTATTTCTTGTAACAGGAGTATATAATGGAATAGAGTCAAAACACACAACAGAATCAAGGATGAGAATATCAAAGATGGAGTGTATGGACATATTAAAGACAATTATAAGTAAGAGCGTGTATGGACTCTAATTATTGATATATCTGAAGAAAAAATCCAAAATATAAACTGTCTTTGGTAAGATGAGTATCGGTGTTTTATCATAGGAAATACAACAGAAACATGCCCATATTTGTAAAGTATTTGAAGCTAGCCGTTGTCTTAAAATATCCATGTCTGCATTGTGGATCATGGCTAAAATTAGTTCCATAATGAACTATCTGCAAATGTAGGTTGCATTGACAATACAACTTCATAACTGTCACAATATCAAAGATGAAATTTTCTTTGTGCATGAAATTTGACGCCATTGACCTTGACACTGAGACTATAGTACCTATAATGACTTGTTTACGCCGAAGCGGGCGGAAAAACACGTGGTGTCGTCCTTATCGTTGCGCATGCGTGAATAATATTGAGCTATTTCCGTGTTGTGGTTGCAGGGAGCATTTAAGAGACCTCTGTTTCAACCCAACTACTATTTCACCCTGGAATTGCCAACAAGTCTAATGCAGACTGCCAACCGCCACAACGTTTATACTTGCAGGTGAGATAGGTTAAATGACACTGGATAGGTTAAATTAAGTGCATTTTGCTGAAATCTGGGATGAATATTCAGGTCAGTGATCTCGGTCGGGAGTTTGGTTGTTTACGATGTGTAGCAGACTAGAAAGACTGTACCGGTGTCTTGCCGACCCGGGGGAGGGGGGGGGGGATTAGAGCGTGGCTGCGTCAGCAAGACTACTTTAGCTGCAGACCCGCCGTGTTGTCATCTGATGATGTCACCTTCTTTGCAAGTGCAGCAAAATAGATATATTGATTTGCTGTTTTTGTGTTGTGGGAGCCTCTTACAGAACCCACGTTTCAGTAATTTTTCATTTCTTTGTTTAAACGCTTATGGTTAATGTGAATTTTTTTCAATGTGTTTATGCACTTTGTGGTTTGACAGTAGGTTAATCATTTCCTCTTGAGAATGATGTGTGACATCAACAAAGTTAATGCCTGTCGCTTCTGTCCAGCATTAGACTAATCAAATACTCATTTTATTGATGGGAAGACCTTTGGGAGTTGTCCATTGGTTGAGATGAAGGGGTCATTGTTGGTACACAAGTACCACAGACGTGTACATGTACCCCAGGTACCTTTCAGTATACAGAAAAGTACCTGAGCCAAAACCTGAACTGAACCGAAAATGATAGACAAATCCTTTTTCTTCAAACCAAAACAGAAACTGGCGTATTGCGTAGTTACACGTCACCCATCTATGAGTGTATGCTGGATTATGGCGTGCATCACGGATTGTAAGAGTACTGTATGTACATCACTTTGTATCTTCAATTTTTCTTATATAGCACTTTTGAGTTTTAGTCCTGCATATAACTAGACGACTTTGCACTATACCAAGGTGTGCTCGACGTTTAGCTGGCGAATCCATTTTCTTTGTCGCACTTCGCTAGGCAGAGAGGCTCAACGGATTTAGGCAAAAACGAGGATGGAAACTCAACCTATCGACTAATACATGTGCATGGATTGCTGAAATTTTCATTTATGTTTAAAACGAAACATTTATCTCCCCTAAAAACGACTCATTTTATTACTTAAATGATCTGAAACATAGAGACCCTACCTACTCTCCACCATTTGTCGGCCATACTGTTATGGTAATTAGCGGTTGAATAAAAAGTGGAAACGCATTAAAACGGATTTACGAACAAATACAATTTGCTAAAAGTTTGTCCCCCTTCCCCCGACTTCAGAGCGTCATGTAATCACAGTCCGTTTAATACGGTTCCGTTTTTTGATACAAATGCTAATTACCAAAACCAATATTTTTCAGCTGGCTTACAAAGGACACTTACTTTAGATTTTACATGAATCTTGAGAATTGGGATATAATGTGTGGCCTGGCCGAAATTGTGCCATCTTACCCTAGCTGTTTGGGTTGTTGCTGATGTGATCAGCCACTAGTTTGAGTCAAAATATTTACAAGTTGGACTGATAGAGACTGGGACATCACACAACATGTTCTTGTTTTCTCTTGAGTTAAATCATTCATAACAATTGCATATTTCAGTATCTGTTTCGTGACTATTGATGGCTCAGGGCTCCAGATAAGGGCCATATCGGTGTATGTACGGATAAAAAATATGCAATATGCACCAGATACGCACCACAGCAATGGTGTATGATCTTTGAATCATTTACAGACGTATTTATCTGAAAAAGTATTGTTTTATTGTTCATTGACCTGTTTACACATGAGTAGCAATGTTGTGGTGCATATATGAAATGAAACACAAGATTACTGATACTCCATTAAATTCTATTCACAGGGGTGGAAATAACTTTAAGATTGCTAGTGTACTCCTGTACAGTGGCACATGTAACATCACTTGCCCTGATAATTTTTCCACTGTACCGGCCGTTTTCTTGTTGATTTTTTAAATAAACAACATGATTAACATTGGAAAGTCAACTGGACACTGGTACAGTGTGATATACAAATTTGCTTGCCCGACAGAAAAAAACACTGGACTCGGACGTCGGGCAATGGGTTATATCCACCCCTGCATTCAGTACTCAAAATGTACTCCTACGGTTTTCCAGTACTCCTATATTGAAAAAGTAAGGAGTATGTACTCCTGATGCTGAAAAATTATCTGGAGCCCTGAAGGCTGAGTAGTGATGCAGTTTTCCTAGAAATTGATCACTTGATCGCAGGTATCACATTAACATATTGTTCTGGTATAGGATGAAATCTGTGGGAACAGCTGCTTGTAATTGAGGGGATCAGCTGACGGCTATCAATTATTTTATTGTGTTTGCTATGGATAATAAGTGTACACCTTCTTACCATGCCATGGATGTTGGATGTAAAAGCATACAGAATCCCAGGTTTCCAGTAGGGTATGACAGGTACATATCACATGGTTGTAGCCATACTTAGCTAAGAGTTTGCAGCCAATTCCATATTTATGATTTTTGCAATGACTAAAAACATTTGTTTTGGTGAAACCGTAGACATTAAAATTTATTCACATTTCACACTTAAAATGTAATTTAGCCTCAAATTCACACATTGATTTGATAAATTGTTGACTGATGGACTGTTTCTCTATGAGCACAATACCCGTGAAGGTCCGTGTTAGAATGAACCTTCAGTAACCCATGCTTGTCGTAAGAGGCGACTAACGGGATCAGGTGGTCAGGATTGCTGACTTGGTTGACACATGCCATCGGTTTCAAATTGCGTAGACCGCCGCCATATAGCTGGAATATTGCTGAGTGCGGCGTAAAACTCAACTCACTCACTCAATTGCGTAGATCGATGCTCATGTTGTTGATCACTGGATTATCTGGTCCAGACTCTATTATTTACCGACCGCTGCCATATAGCTGGAATATTGATGAGTGCAGCGTAAAATTAAACTCACTAACTCACTCTGTGAGCACAACAACGTTTCAGATTAACTTCGCACTAATTGTAATTCTGAAAATAACCCCATTATTGGTAAAACAAGATAGATGGCAAGAAAGGTTGTGTCCACTAGTCTACAGTCAGTTCACAAACCTTAATGTGAATGTTGGTGTTGCTCCTCACCTTGTATGAACAGGTTGTTGGATAGCTTAGTGGTTAAAGCTCTTTTGTGCGAAAGGTCTGGGTTCTATTCCCCATGGTTTCAGTGTGTAACGCCTATTCCTGGAACATTTTTAGTGTTTCAAAACTGCACTCACTCACACTCATTAATTTTTGGATAGACAACTTCTTTGTTGCAGTAGTAGTTGCGACGTTTCGGTGTAGATCCTAACACCGTTATCAAGCAAATGATACACAACATTTGCACAAGGAGAAATATATACAGGGCGGGTATAGGGTTTATACAATAGAAGAGGTTGATGTACGGTGTGTTGACTTGAGACTTGTTTTGATAAGAAATGATTGAAGCCTGTAGACAAACTACTACTGCAACAAAGAAGTTGTCTATCCATAAAAGTGCTCCACTTCATCATGCCAGCTTCTAAATGCCACTTAAGGAAGCAGAACTTAATGAGTTAAGTTTTGTACCCGACAGTTTTACTCTATGCAGGGATGAGATTTAACTGCAGATTGTATCAAGTCACTTTAGTAATACATGTCATTACAGCATATGCTTTAATCATATGGTCCCTCAAAACCCTTGCTAACTTTCAGAGTGGTATTAGGAATTGGGGCTATAGTTTGAGCTACTTTTAATGTTTTAGTGAAGAAAGACGACTTCCTCACTCATGCATATGTTTTGGCACTTAAGTCAGCTTTGGAAAGTGCATTCCAGATAATTTGGCCAGAGTAATATAAATTGATGTTCTTGTGTTTTTAGGGAGATGGACAACGATCGCTTCCTGCTATCAAATCTTCACAATCGGTTCCTGCTCTTGGAACTACTTTAATGCCTCGGTCTGACCATTGCCAAGGCTCAGCGAATTTAAAGTGAACAGCAAAAGGCTAGACAAAGGACAGAAATTTGGAGACTGAACACAACAGGTATTGAAAACAACAGGTATTGAAGACATCAGCGCAGTATAGAAGCAGCAACTAAACAGCAAGATGACTGACAGCGATGATGAATTTATGATATTCCCCATCACTGATTTGGACGCCAACTATGATGCCTCTCAGTCGGAACAGGAAGACAGCGGTGGCGACCACCAGAGCAGCGATGATGACGAGAGACCCAAAGTCTTCATGTCCCTGCGGCAGAGGCGTCTGTCGAAGGTCTTGGGGACGAATCCCCTGCCTTTGCTGCAGACCAGCATCCTGCCGCCGGTTCCCAACGTGAACAAGCTTCACTGGCTGTCGGCCATCAGAAAGGCCAAGGAAATGCAGGACCCGTGGGAGATGTTCCACATTGAGGACACGAAGGTCGAGAAATGCATCAGGCATCGCTACAATGCTATCAAGAAGAGTTGGGTGCAGGATGAAGTTAGCGTCAAGATTCAGAATAAGGTGAGTTTGCGGTTAACCTTGATCAGAGTCTTAACTGTAGAATGGTCCAGACTCGATTATTTACAGACCGCCGCCATATAGCTGGAATATTGCTGAGTGCGGCGTAAAACTCACTCACTCACTTACTTAACTGTAGAAACTGACTAGTCGTTTCTTGAACAGTACTAGTTGTTTCTTGCTCAGTGTTTTAAAAGGAAAGGTGGGTCTAGGAGGCATGCTGAGGGTTTGCTGCTACTCTTTTTGAGTCTGATCTTGGGACCCACTCGATTATTATTTTTTAGCTTTAGTTTATGAAAAGGATCTTATGGATTTCATGCCTGATTGCAAATACTGTATATTGGACCCGTGAAGATCTGGGTTAGAATTGGTTGTCAGCAACCCATGCTTGTCGTAAAAGGCAACTAACGGGATCGGTTGGTCAGGCTCTCTCTGACTTGGTTGACACATGTCATGGTATCTCAATTGCGTAGATTGATGCTCATGCTGTTGATCACTGGATTGTCTGGTCCAGTCTTGACTGACTGACTGAGTTTGGTTTTACGCCGCTTTTAGCAATATTCCAGCAACATCACGGTGGGGGACACCAGAAATGGGCTTCACACATTGTGCCCATGTGGGGATTCGAACCCGGGTCTTCGGCGTGACGAGCCAACGCTTTAACCATTAGGCTACCCCACCGCCCCCCAGTCTTGATGATTACATACCGCCGTCATATAGCTGGAATATTGCTGAGTGCGGCATTAAACACCAACCAAACAGTTGACCAACCAACCAAGAACTATCAAATGTTTCAATCTTGTAGGTACCTTGACTAGTTCTGGTATTTTAGGGCTGGAGCTAGTTCCTAAAAATCTTGAATGGAAAGGGAGAAATGTTAAAAAGTGAAAATCAGATTCAGATCCACAATAATATGCCTGTAAAATCCTCTAAATAATGAATATGCATACAGCGTACAATTGTACCTGACTTATGTCCAGAAAGTGTTTCTAGATTAACAGGGTATGGAATAGCAAGGTTAACACATGCCTCTTTACGTGAGCAATTGTTTGCTGAATTACGGTATTTTCTGCATGGTGTTTTACATGTTTTGCATCAGAATTGAATGCACCCAGACAAATTGTTATTTGCAGCTAGCAGCTGACTTGTGTTTCTGTGCACATTGTTCTCTCTCTGTGTTTCCTGATGCAACATATGGTGTGCTTTCGGAATTATTTCTTATGTAATATATTCATTTATCACTCACGTGGTCACGAGGACACAGATGGCGAGATACCTATACAGTATGTTACAAGTTACTTTTACAAGGTTGGCCTCGTTTTATTTGTTTTGATTGGATGACCATGACCTTGCAAAGGTCACACGTGTGGGTGAAGTTGTATTGCATTGTTTTCTGGATATTTTTATTAGGTGGCAAAGGGGTCAACTGCAGCATTTGGGAGGCTCACACGACTTTAACATTTTCTATGTAAATAAGGTTATTGATTCAAAGTTGCAGTGGGGACTGTTGGGTAGTCTAGTGGTTGAAGTGTTTGCTCGTCACGCCCGTGGGTAGAGTGTGTAACGGCCATTTCAGGTGTACCCCTGCCGTGATATTGCTTGAATATTGCTAAAAGCAAAATATCTCCGGTTAGAGAGGTGTTAAACAATACTTAAGAGTCCTTATGATCATGATGTTAAGCGATTAATTATTTTTTCATGTTGCACAGTACATTTAGGATTTGCAATGTAAGTCCATTTGGCAGGAAAACTGGAGAAAACATTGTATTTTGTTCAAAACTGGGATTTTGTTCTTGCTATGTTTTTATTTTCCAAAATGCAAAGGTAATTAAACATTAAACTTTAACATCCAATGCGAAAGTGTGAAAGAGAACGCAGTAGCCTCTTCTGCTACACTGGCCCTGTGATCAGTGATATCCATGTCACCTGACTAGGCTATGAAAGTCGTACAGCGTAAAATGATAAATTTTAATTCCAGTTTGAACAGTTTTGTTGACATTTGTTGCAGAACTGGAGTAGGCTATCTGCAGGTTTAGATAAATCTGTTTACTATTTCGGTGCAAAGGCTGAAAGCACTCTTTTGGGCAAGGACATTTACCTGTTTCCAGTCGCCACCTGTTGTCGACATATAATCAGTTTGAAAAGCCAATGCCAGTCTGTATCCGTCACGTGAAATTTTAATAATGCAAATGACTTTTGGTTTAACTTGTGTACAAGATTCAAGGTACTTCAATGTGCTACGAGGGTTAGTAGTCTAGTGGTTTGAGTGTTCACTCATCACATGACAGGACCAGGTTCGATTCCCCACATGGGTAGAATGTGTTAAGCCCATTCCTGGTGTCCCCCGCTGTGATATTGATGAAATATTGCTGATATGTGCTAAAAACCTCTCACTCACTCACTCACTCACTCACTCACTCACTCCTGCACTCACTCACTCACTCACTCACTCACTCACTCACTCACTCACTCACTCTCACTCACTCACTCACTCACTCTCACTCACTCACTCACTCACTCACTCACTCACTCACTCACTCACTCTGGTATCCAGTATGGTTGTAGGAGGCATGTACTTTATTGAATGGCAGGTAGCAACATGACACTGGAAATGTGCAGTAGCACCGGTATATTCAGATTTGAACTTATAGAAATGACAGGGAACAGTTTTCTATTTCTGACTGCTAGTTTTAGCAATATGTCATGCTGCTGTTTGGGTTGTAGATTGCCCATGTGGAAACAATTAAATAATTTTGACCATTTAAATTTCCATGACATTTGACATATTGTCCATTTTATTTATTTTTAGACTTTTTAATGACTGTATGCCAAGCTCAAAGCAGTATTTTTTATGTATGTATTCATCTTTTGGTGTCACACGTTATACTTGAACATCTGCTGTGGTAATTTTTGATGACATTAGTCGCTGGTTTGTGTCAAAATTATATTTAGTTTATGCCTTGACAGGGGTGTGTTGTAATTCTCTGACCTGTCATAAAGAGACCAGTGAAGAAGAATTGGGTTTAATGTTTAATTTTGCATTATTGAATTGAATGTTGTAATACCCCTGAATTAAAACTAAAATAACAAATTATACCAATTTTGATATAAGTATAACCATTGTTGGCCCAATTACTCTCCAAGGCTGCAGAGTTACAATTCTAGATAAAGTCACCCTCAACTTGTACTATGAAAGAAAGAACATGTTAATACAGGCTTCATATATTTTTTAAAATATTAATGAGGATTTTTAGATTTCAATGATATTTTGTCTAGATATAAATTATGTTTGAATAGCATACAGACATGTTCATGATTGGGTCAACATGTGTTCAGATATTTTTCTTTATAATTACAAAATTAAAAAAAAAGTATTTTCTGAAGTTTTTGATGATTAGTCAGCGTCCTTGAACTAATCTCAAGGGATTACATGTTGCTTAATACAGAGGATTACATGTATCACAGCTTCTGTTGAGATAAGAAGGCCTATTGACCACGAACTTCCAGAGCAGCTGTGTCTCCATTGGTGTGCCATATTTGTTCTGATTCTACGTAAACCGTGTCACAGTTTCAGTGCCCACATGGTGTTAACATAATCAAGACCATTACTGTAAAAATGGCCATTGTATCTTTGACCGAAGGTGTGTCAATGTCTGTCACAAGTCTTCAAATAGCCAGGCTGTGTGACGTATGGCACAGGCTCGCTGCTATTGAATGGCATGATCCTCATTGATGTTTTGGTTCTGGCTCCGATCCATTACGGTTATAATGGTCTTATGTACAGAAGGGTGACCTATTGTCACTGTTCCATGATAATCACATTAGTGAAAGATTCTTTATGACCGACCATGAATCTGTCGTATTAAGATGATTACTGCTACAGTATTTTATCCCCTGAAAAGTGGAAGTCTAGATTATTAATCCAAGACTTTGCTCATGCAGTCTTGTTGAGATCAAATCTTTCACTCCAATATAATACCTCTTTGTGTTATGATACAGGGAAAGCTCAACAGAAGTTTCTGTTAGGTGAACTGTGATTGGTCACCCTATCTCAACACTCACTCTTATGTTGAAAACTTCTCAGTCTCAGATACTTTGGATTGACATGGGTCAGGTCCCTCTTTATACAGCACGTGGGTCACATGCCTCCACGTATCAGTTATACCTGACTCGTCACAATGGGTAATGGGTTACCTGGCACAAAAACAATGAATTGTGTAATTCAAGCATACCCTTTACCATCATCAGTAATAGTTTAAAACTGAAAGAAATAGTTCAAAATAAAAACCACAATTTCACGTCAAATGCAACTACAGTGGTGCTGTTACTGCTAATGGAGCTGCTTCTATCTTTGGTGCTGTCGTTTATGTCCCACCCTAAAACACTAGTGTCCAACCCCAGCCCAGCCCATCACGCCACGCCAGGCCACCGCACCACACCACAACGCCATGCCACCCCACCACCACTGGGCTATACACCACACACACCACCACATGGGCACTGTGTACCACCAGGCTCAACGCAGTGTTGGTTGCTGTCATGCCAAGACCCGGGTTCGATTCCCCACATGGGCACAATGTATGAAGCCCATTTCTGGTGTACCCCACCGTGATATTGCTGGAATATGGCTAAAAGCTTCGTAAAACCCAACTCACTCACACTCATCTCAACATGTATGGTCCATGTATGTTACGTTGACCCTGTTGTTTTCTTGGTTCCAGTCCTTCACCCGTGGAGCGATGAGACAGTGCTTCAGACTGTAAGTAGACTCAGCCTTCATCAAATCCACACGTACATTACCATGCTTCTCTTACCATTAGACCGCCTCCGTGGTGTAGTGGTTAGAGCGCCCGCCCGGAGAGCGGAAGGTCACGGGTTTGATCCCCGACCGCGTCATACCAAAAGACATTAAAATATGGTACTTGTTGGTCCCTGCCTGGCTCTCGGCATTAATGGGTACAACAAGGACTGGTCGGCTCGGAGTCAGTATAATGTGTCTGAGTGGGGTATTCATGCTTCACTGCGGCATGGTATCTCAGTGGGCTAGCACTATAAAACCAGCTTAAGTCTGGGCTAGTACAAGCAGCCGCACATACACATACACACGCATGCACATCATCATATGAGCGAAGTATTCTCAAGCACGTTAAACCCATTTCACCTTACCTCACCTCACCTCACCTCACCTCACCTCTTACCATTAGAAAAACAACATTTTAATGATAAGGAAATGTTTGAAATATGATACTCCAACTTTTGAGATATAATCATATTACTGACATCTGGACTTGTTGTCGTTCTCACACTTGGGAAGTTTGGACTTTGACATAATCCAGTATGGAGGAATGAGCAACAAGTCCAAGTATGTAATTCAATTAGACTATTTTGCTCTTTGCATGTATTATGAATCTGTGATGTCTATTTGTTATTATTATGAACAAATCTGATAATTTTCTTAATTATTTAAAAAAATTATTTCTTAAGTTACTCAAAGGGCAGTTGAATTAAGAGATGTTAGGGGGTGAAGTCCTTTGATTTTCATGACTGTTGTCCTATTTAAGCACTTTATGATGAACCTGTCACCATGGTTACATTGTTTATGATACAAAAGCAATGTTAACTGTAGCTTTTGACAACCAGATTGTCCAAACATATACATGATGATTTACATAAGTAGTGGTGTGAACGTGAGCGGTATGATTAACATAAGTAGTGCTATGAACGTAAGCGGTATGATTAACAAAACAAACCTGAGTATTCAGAATTTGAAAAGGATATTATCAACGTCAAAGGAAGCACATACTTTTATTTTTTATATTTTTTTATATTTTGTAATTATGAAAACACTATTTATATTTTTTATATTTAGAACATCAAGTATTACCTCTCTCCTAGTAAAAATAAACAATCACAGAGCAAGAATATTGATGAAAAGTATTGTTCTTCTAAAACCATGTCAAGTTACACTTAAATAATACAGGCACTCTAGGCTTTGTTTTGTATGCCCTGTGGCACACTTGAAAAAACCCACATTTTTAACCTGTATTTTCTTAAAATGAATATTCATAATATTTGAAGCTGATTTTTACACTGTTGGATAATGGAACCCAAAGTTTTGCTAATCTACACGTAAACACATTGATGTCTAGATGTGGGTTATATGTTGATTTGATGGATGTGTTTGTACTGACATGTCACGCCTGACATGCTGTATAATTGTTTACAAACGTCATCTCCTGAGAGTCAGTGACCGACAGTAATCTGGCCACATGGCAGGATCTCTGACCCCAATCCAAGATCTCTGACCTCCACGTGTCAGGTCAACAGCCTGCAGTGTTGACCATGTTGGTCGATGAAGTTCACCTCTTATCATGTTTGTGAAGTGGCACACGCCCTACTGAACAGCAGATGACCCGAGGTGTCTGTTTATTGATTGCAGAGTCGGCTATTTTCCATTTGAATTCAGAGTTAATGGAAAACATGGAACTTTATTAAATTGTGTTTTAGTCTGCATTCAGTTTGCCAACACAAGATAAAGGCACTATGGTGGAGGTGTAGCATGCAGTTGTAGACTTAGGGCAGTGGCGTAGCCTAGTGGTGAAAGCCTTTGCTTGTCACGTCAAATACCTGGGTTTTATTCCCCCACATGGGTACTGTACAGGGATGCCAACCACTCCGATTTGGGGAGAGTTACTCAGATTTTCAAATACAAAATCTGCTCTCCAATTTCTCTTTAAAAAACTCCGATTTTTTAGAATAAATTCTGAATATATTTTTACGGTATACAATTTCGTAAGTCACTGGTGATTTATTTGAGTGAACACTGGTAAAATCATTCAGAAGCATAGCGTGTGATCCTTTGAGTGTCGATTGTGTATATTGCGTGTTATTGACGATGAAATTTCACAAAGTTTTTCCGAATGCATGTCATAGTCCGACCACGCACTCACCCCCAACTCGCACCTTTGGTGCTCAGGCCTGGATTTCAGCCAGTCATGACTCTGTTTTCCTTAGATTCAGGGTTTGCATATCTGGGTACAGTGTGTGAAGCCCATTTCTGCTGTCCCCCACCATAATATTTCTGGAATATTGCTATAAGTGGTGTAAAGCCATACTCATTCACTCAGTGGTAGACTTGTAGGAAATGTCTGCTATAATTTGTTGGACCGGTGATAAATTAAATGTCCCTGATCAATTGTTTTTACAGTTTTAGGCTACTGTTAATCTTACACTATTATATTAAATGCCCACCAAGAAATGGTACACCACCAAAGAATTTAGTGCAGATTCAGAACTGTTAAAAATGAATATTATTGTTTCATTGGGCTGATATTGGGAATCATGGGAGAAGTTTATCAAAAATGTACAACAGAAAAAATGTATTATTAGATTGAAAGTGGTCTTTTCAAACAGATAGAAACTGCCTGTTCTCACACAGATCAATTTCTAGTCAGTTAATCATTCTGTTCATTTTTTCACTTTAAAACCTATGAAGATCCGGGGTAGAATATTGATCTTCAGTAACCCATGCTTGTCGTAAGAGGCGACTAACAGGATCGGGTGGTCATGCTCGCTGATTTGGTTGACACATGTCATCAGTTCCCCATTGCGCAGATCAATGCTCATGCTGTTGATCACTGGATTGTCTGGTCCAGATTATTCACAGACCGCCGCCATATAGATTGAATATTGCTGAGTGCGATGTAAAACTAAACTCACCCCCACTCATTTCCACTTTAATATCTCAACTTGATAAACATTTGAGGCATTAAGGCCTTTCAGAGCAATTTTTGTTCTCTGTTCTGAATATAATAGGATCACTGTAGGTGAATGTCACTTGTCTCAAACTAGGATTATCTTCATAGTTCCATGGTACCCACTAATAATTAACTGTGTTTATTGACATAATTCAAGTTGTTTATTTTTGTTTCCTGGTTTCTATTACCCACTTTAGATATTAGTCAGATTTTATCTGATAAATAACTTCCCCTGCTTTAAAGGACAAGGGACTATATTCAGGGCGAAGTTCATGCTGACAGTTCTAGATCGGGACGTCCTATTGACGAGACGTCATGCTGTATTGAGCTGACATGTGTCTCTCTTTATGCAGACATGCTAAAGAATCGGGGAGATAAACAAGCTGTTATTGTATACTGTCTCACTGTGAATGTTGCACTCTTCCCAGAGTATAGAGGTCGCCATTTGCATGTTGAGGAGGTGTAACACTATCTGGTTGACTGATTATGTTGGTTAGAGATGATTTTTCACACAAAGGATGATGCAGTTTGTGGCCTTGACACTTGCAAGCAAGTGCAGTGATATGAATATGATGTCGTTGGTAGCTTGCTGCCATTGCCTGGGGCGCACAAGTGACAAATTTGAGTCTTTCATGACAGTTTCGTGGCCCTGCATAACATTAAACAATGAGATGAGGGCAGTAGATCAGAAGTGCATTTGTTAACTAGATAACCTTTTTCAGTTAAGATAGATAAGTAAGGTGTTTTTAATACTTGAAACCATGCTCCTAGACTGGGAGTTTATCTTTGACATTTTTAGGCAGTAATGCACCTGGGCATCCTTTCACAAAGCACTAAGGTGATCGTAAGTAGGGGTGGGTATTGCAGATAATTTTCATATTGCGATATATTGTGATGCGAAATCATATATTGCGATATGTATTGCAATATATTGCATAAAGTCTCTTTTAACAAAAAATGACTCATAATCGCGTTAATGCTTTATAATAAAGCAAAAACACAACAAATTCACAATGCTTGATTAAGCTTTAATAACAACTTTTAATCATGACAAAATAAAACCGTGAACTTTTTCAACCCAAATGCTGCCATGCTTAAACCTTTGTCCTAGTATTTGTTCGTTGTTGGGTGTCACCATTTTACAACAATCGCATGACTTCTGGTGTGAAAAACGGATATATCCGAAGATTTCCGTGTGTTACAAAGTTTTCCTAACACATGTCAAAATACCGGTTTTCAATCAGCGTGTATCGCAATACGTATCGTTTTGATGACTGAACCGGTAAATACCGGTAAACCGGTTATATTGCACAGCCTTAATCGTAAGTCACTAAGGTAACCTTAGTGCAATGTTAAAGAATGGGAGTTAAGGTTAACCTTAGTAAAGGTTGCTTCTTGAAAGGAGCCCCAGGTCTTTTGTGCCCAACTTGCACAGACAATTTGTGTCATTAAGTAATATTAGATCTAGACATACGACCATTGTCTATTGTATTGGCAAATAAAGTGTATTGCAAAATAATGTGATACAGGTACCAGTTTTGTGATATGTACTGCAATATATTTAGAGCGTATGTGTTTGACACTAAGTGACACTAATTGTACATGCAGATCCTATTTTCTACATACTAAGGCCCAAAATATATGTTATGGTTCTGAAAACAGCCATCTCAAAATTAGGTTGTATAGTTAAGGATTCTGTTTTCTTTTTTGTTATACAATTTATAGCATGAAAAGTATGCTGTTTTGTCAATTAATTACAAAGGGAAACACAAGTTTTTAATGAAAGTCTGTGAAGATTTGAATGTAAACCATAGCGATAATTAAAAAACCTTCATTTATTGTTTTATCCAGTACACTGGTTCTCAGAAAAAAATATTGTAATATGTATTATGTGAAAAGTGTGTTGTGGTATACTGGTTATAGCATGCAGTTCAAGTAATTCTGGGGGTGGTGGGGTAGCCTAGTGGTTAAACTGTTTGCTCATCACACCGAAGACACGGGT